ATTCTTAAAAATATATAAGTAGGTACCTAAACTACGTCTAATAGAATGAAATAACCTATTTGATACCTAGGTACCTATTTAAAACTACAGCTAAATAAAAAAAAGTTTAATTTATAATTAAGCTAATACTAAGAAATATTTAAACACTACCAAAATAACTAATACCTATTTTATAAAATAACAACCAAAGAAATCTAAAAATAAATTATTAATCGTAAGAGTAGACTAAAAGTCGCGCTGATAAGCACGGTTTGTTAAAATCAATTATTGTCTGTCAATAAGGTCGAACACTCTGAACGTCTATTCGCATCAACAGCCAAATATTGTATGAAGCTCGCACTCGGACCCCCGGCTTTTTATCCCTCCCGCCGCGAGCCGCGTCGAGCCCGGCGACCGTTACACAAAAATAATCCTTATAGCATGATTCAGTAATCACGCGCGTTGGCTTATTAGCGTATTTCATGTATAACTTTGGTGTTTCTATACTGATTTCTATGATTGTTTTTTATTGAATAGATAATAATGTTAACTTTTTTTTTTTAATTAGGGATGAGTGAGAGTGTTATAAACGTAAGAGTAGACAAATATAATCAGAAAGCTCCGCTGCTAAGCTATCGGGAGTTACACGTGTTATTGTGAGTCAACCATAAAAGATAGACATATGCTGTCGTGGGATATTTTTTATATAATTTTAAGGAGAATATTTCCGTTGTACATGATTTCTGTGTAGCTTTAACCATTAAGGCTGCACACGCGACGGAAGCTTAAAAAATGGAGTAATTTCTCCCGTTTCCCCAACATTTACCTTCACTGCTCTGCTCCAATTGATCGTAACGTGATGAAAAGTATACTATAACCTGCCCAGGAGTATTAAGAATGATTGTACCAAGTTTCGTTAAAATCCGTCGAGTAGTTTTTGTTTCTATAACGAACATACAGACAGACAGACAAAAATTTTACTCTTTGCATTTTTGGCATCAGTATCGATCCCTGATAGTTATTTTGGAAATATATTTCATGTACAGAATTGACCTCTACAGATTTATTATAAGTATAGATTTGGCGGGAATTTGTAGTGTTATGTTACTTACATATCATTTTACATTATTTTAAATTCATTTTTCCATGCTGTTTCGATTTTCTGCATTCACCTCAAAACTGGATATTTTACATCACCTTTATTTCCATAGGATCCTGTAACGACTTTAAACCATAAGAACACAATAACAAATCATTTCTACTTCGTATTTTCACACTATCAGCACTTTTAAATTGGTGTCAATGGAGTCTACCTTTTTCGATCTTTTATTTAGTTTTCCGTAACTCTGCAATTTCGGGCTTTGTGCGCGCAGGTGCGCTACCTTTTTTCCCTATATCAATAATATCTCATTTTTCACTTAAATCTTGCCGTTTTTCTATTACGAGCCTAAAACCAAAATTTGACATGTTTTGATATCGTTGTTTATCTGGTTGTCATGACAATTTTTATTCAAATTCGCTACCGGTCTGTTGTTTCTACTTCGATAATTCCACATAAATACTCTTTCCTCTTGGCCATTTACAAAAAATTTGCGTTTAATTTAAATAATTTTTCCGTTCTCTCTAAAAAGGTATAAAAGCCGAACAATCGGTCAAGAAAGTCAGTCTCGCTTCGGTTCTCAAACTCGAAGTATCTCCTAAAGGCCTTATCCCGGGGCCGCACTGCCCCGGGATCCTGCAAGCCTCTGCTCTGCCTGAAGTCGCCGGATCCTGCAAGCCTCTGCTCTGCCTGAAGTCACCGGATCCTGCAAGCCTCTGTCCTGCCTGAAGTCGCCGGATCCTGCAAGCCTATGTCCTGCCCGAAGTCGCCGGATCCTGCAAGCCTCTGTCCCGCCTGAAGTCGCCGGATCCTGCAGGCCTCTGTCCTGCCTGAAGTCGCTGAGGATCCTGCAAGCCCCTGTCTTGCCTGAAGTCGCCGGATCTTGCAAACCTCCGCATTCACCTGAGGTCGTCGCTTAGAGACGCCCACAACTTCACCTACGCTGTGCGTGCTCGTTCCAGGCGCTGAGAGCACTTACTGTACACCTTGGATCTTCGGGCTCAACTTCAACACAAATTTTTTTTTTATTATCTTTTTTTTTAAATAATTGTAAATCACGACATCCATCCTCATCTTCATACTCCATTTTGTTATATAAAATTGTAAATATCTTTTAAATTTTAAATATATTATTTGTTTTTGTTCTATTTTTGTGATTTTGTTGCTCTTAGGTTAGATTCTTTTGTATTTAATTGACGCTTCACGACAAATTTTCACGGTACATAGAATAAAAATAAAAACTAGCTTTGTACTTAATAGACATTATTAAATTTTATTAGTGTTATTATGGGAAAAAACAAAAGCTGCGATCCGTCTGCAAGGAAGACTATCCTCAAGTTTTATGGCAAAGGTTGGTCATAGAGGAAGATTGCAGATCAGTTAGGATGCTCTAAAGATATGGTTATGAATACTATTCGGCATTTTAAGAACTTTAATACTACTGAAAATGTGCCCAGAAAGACAAGACCAAGAAAAACAACCCCACGAGAAGGCTCAAGAATAGTGTTGTTGGCAAAAAGGGAACCGTTTATTAGAGAAGAACCGTTTACTAGAGAGAGAAGTTTATTTTCTGTTTCCCATCACTGGTCTGTGAACACCATAGATAAATAAATATGTAGCAAGCTATAACTGTCTGTCTGTCTGTCTGTGAACACCAGTGAACACACACTCACTCACCCACTGTAGTATATTATCTATGCACACACACCTACATCCTACATATCTATCATAGAGAAAAGTAATACATCAGGAAATATCTATTTATCTATGCCACACATCTCTATGGGTTGTAGTGTGTGACACACTACAACCCATTGAGTTATACAAGACTAGAGGAGCAAACCACATTACCGCGCGCCGAAAAAAGTGAAGCCACTATCTAGCCGCGAGGACGTAGCTTTGAAACCACTAAACCTTTTTAAGTAAACATATATCTGTCTCACTTACACAAGTCACGAAAACAATACCGTCGCTAAGATTAGATAAAGATAGACACACAAACATGCAGTGACGGATTGGTATTGCCTACTATATGAAATTTTACCCAAAAATAAGCAATAAAAAAGAGTTTTTTTAAGCAGTTATTTTGCAGTTAATTTGTTTTTATTTTAAATATGTATCTTTGCTTATCCGATGAATAGAAGTATAACTAATGAAATGAAAGATTTTTCTAAGTATCTTTTATTGTACTGATAAATCAAACAAAAAATAAATCAAGTAAAAAAAATCAATTTTGGGTTTCTTAACTTGAAATATTGATCAATTGTGAAAGCATCGGCAAGTCTTTGTCTCCTAAATTTGGTCTCATGACATTAGCCACAAAAACTGTGGTTATTAATATATTTTTAAGTTAATACTAAATGGTGTTAGTCTGTCGTACTAATCCTCTTAAATAAACACGTTCGCCATCGCTTTTTGGTCCTACACGTCAGTACACGTTGGCCGAGCGCACTCGGCGAGCGCGCTCGGCCAAAGTGTACTGGGTTACTGGAGCCATGAAGTGGCAACGCTTTGGCGCGGCAATTACTTATCTAGTGTAATGCCTCCTCTATGCCTCCTCTACACTACTCGCGAAGTAGATCGAAGTTGGACGAGGCGAATAGTGTAGAGAGGTACTTCGATTTACTTCGTCCAACCTCGTTTCGCCTCGGGCGACTTCCGACCGCTGTCGGTTTTTTGCGCCAGAGTCAAAGGACTTCGCGAAGTACCCCGAAGTTACACGAAGCGTCTCACTACACTACTCGGCGTACGCCAGTTATGAATATTTTTTTATAAATAAATATTAATATATGTAACTTTCTACATAATTATTTATTTAGTTAACGCATTGACGTCGTACAGTTCACACAATTAGGTACCTATAGCAGCTGCCTCTTGAACGTCATTCATCTTAACGGTGCGGGAGACTCAAGACGACTGAGCTCTTCGCGAAGTAGCACGAGTGTGTGGTCACGTTCTTCGAACTGCGATCAACTTCGACGAGCACTTCGTCGAAGTTACTTCGCGAGTAGTGTAGAGGAAGCATAATGCCTCCTCTACACTACTCGCGAAGTAGATCGAAGTTCGACGAGGCGAATAGTGTAGAGAGGTACTTCGATTTACTTCGTCCAACCTCGTTTCGCCTCGGGCGACTTCCGACCGCTGTCGGTTTTTTGCGCCAGAGTCAAAGGACTTCGCGAAGTACCCCGAAGTTACACGAAGCGTCTCACTACACTACTCGGCGTACGCCAGTTATGAATATTTTTTTATAAATAAATATTAATATATGTAACTTTCTACATAATTATTTATTTAGTTAACGCATTGACGTCGTACAGTTCACACAATTAGGTACCTATAGCAGCTGCCTCTTGAACGTCATTCATCTTAACGGTGCGGGAGACTCAAGACGACTGAGCTCTTCGCGAAGTAGCACGAGTGTGTGGTCACGTTCTTCGGACTGCGATCAACTTCGACGAGCACTTCGTCGAAGTTACTTCGCGAGTAGTGTAGAGGAAGCATAACATATAAAATATAAATCAATTATGGAGTGTAGAGTAGAAAGAGAACCATCTTATAAGGTGCGAAAGTTGAAAAAGTGTCCCAATATATACTGAAAATAGAGGTTCCAAAACCTACCAGAATAGCGCTGTCGTCTGAAAAACTACGATATGAATATAGCTGTTGTAGACGGAGTGAAGTCAGCTGAATTAAAATATTTATAAAATTTCATGACTAGAGTAGTTAGTAACATAGATAAGTGTATATACTGAAATCTGTGGCTACAACCATGAGTGAACTTACGCCGTTACGCGGTTTCGCCGTTCGCTTTAGTTTAATATATAAAAGTACTCTGTGAGTTTAACTTTAACTTGCTTCACTTTCCGTGCGCGTACTAGTATTCTCAAAGAGAATATAATCACTACGTTTAAGTATTCTATGCGTAATAATCAGTAATAATTCTATGATGAATACTTTACTTAAAATTCAGTTGCTAAGAGGTAGTACATATAAAGAAAAAATTGCTCGACCACATTTGAAAGATTTATCGAATTGCATTAATTTACCAGATGCTTATTTGTTAAAAGCTTGTGGTGTGAATAGATTCTTGTTTCACAAGCTTTTGAGAATTTTAGAACCTGTCGTACCTAAAACACAGCGATCAAATGGTATTCCATTTACGTTAAAGGTAACAAGTTAAATTAAAACGGGTTTGTTTTGAAGGGCTTTCTCGAATCCTGTTTATTCTACCATTCTTTCTAGGTATTGCTAACATTATCCTTTTTAAACAGTGGTTCACATCAAAAGTCAATCGGCAAAGATTTTGGTCTTAATATTTCTCAAAAATCAGTGAGCAGAATTATAAAATATGTTATTGAAGGGCTTAACATGGTCTTGAATAACTGGATTTGTTTCCCAAGTTCTGTTATGCTTCGAGATGAAATCAAAGAGGGGTAAGATTTGGTTATATAATGAAGTATAAAGTCATAATAAGTGCTACAAAAATGTATCATTCTTTAGATTTTATAGAAGGTATCACTTTCCTGAAACTATTGGATGTATTAATGGTACATATGTTGAGATTGTTTGTCCAAGAGATGATGAAGAAGCTTTTTACGACAAAAATGGTCAATATTCTATTCATGCGCAAATTGTAAGTGTTATAGAAAAAGACTGGAATTTGGTACTAATTTTGATTAAATCAATAACATAATATATTGTTATTATAGATTTGTGATGCTGAGCTTAGGATAATAGCAATTTGCTGCAGATTTGGAGGAGCTGCAAATAATGCTTATATATGGAATAGGATGAATATAAAGACTTTTATTGAAGATATAAATAGACAAGGAGAAACTAGCTGGATAGTTGGTGAGTTTATTTAACTACTAGCTTTTACCTGCAGCTCCATTCACATTTAATTAAAAGCCAACAATTTTTTTTATTACTGAAATTATTAACTAAATGTTGCAGAATGCTCTATTGCAATACTTCTCTAACCTAACTCTAATTTTGTTGTCAAAGAGTTTACCTTGATGGTGATCCTAGTATCTTTGTTTTTCATTATTTTCTTTAGCCTCCAGTATTGCTTGTAAGTTTTTCCTATAAGTCTGTTGATTTTCTTTGTAGATATATCTGTTGATGAAATTATTTGACCTAGACAGATGTATTAATTCCCATATGCAATAGTATTGTTGTTGACATATATTGGGAGTCCAGAAGATGGCCTGCCAGCTGGAAGTGAGGCTATTGAGATTTAAAAACATCTTAATTTCAATAGAGAAGATGGACAGGTGTTGCCACCTGCTTGGGATCATATAATTAATAAAATTAAATCCAAACTCAAACACCACTGCAAGACTTCAAGATACTATAAGCTCATTCTGCGTAGATCGAACTAAAAATTAATATTCTAAAACTGAAGGTAGCCATGTTAACTATGACATCGGTACGTCATACACCTCAGTCCCCCTGTGACTTGCTGTAAAGCACCCGAAACGTTGGGAATTAAAAAGTTAAATTAAACATGATAGAATCCGTAAAACTTAGTTTCATTTAATGTGTAGTCTCTGCGTAAGTATAAGAAAGCATTAAATGAATAACAATCAACAATAACTATGAACTTAGCTGTATTTCAGCAGAAGTGTACAAATGTGTGCTGCAGAATTTGCTATTATTGCCTTGTGTCAACTTCTCAACTACCATTAAGTTTAGATTGCACTCAATATTCAGTTGAAGAAAAGAGTAATTACTAGATTAAGCATCACCTTGACAGTGGTATTACTGTTTTGTAAATTATTTTGAGATCATAATAATTAACAATATAATAAAATATTTCTTCAACAGGTGATTTTAAATATCCTCAAAGAGCATGGTTGATGACACCAATCTTACATGCAACTCAAGATACACCAGAATCACAATATAACCATTTTCATAGTCACACCAAGAGTTGTATTGAAAAATGTATAAGCAGGTTGAAGGGACAATGGCAATGTCTCCATAAAAGACCACTCCATTATACTCCTCAAAGAGCAGCAAAAATCATAAATGCATGTGCTGTACTTCATAATCTATGCCTAAAAGCTGGTCTTCCGGAACCAACACCTTACATAGAAAAAGAGTTTGCACCACTTATTAGTGAAATGACAGAGATGTCAGATGATAATATTAATGATTTATATATAGGCCTAGAAGTAAGAAGACAACTTGCAGAAAAAATTTACTATAGTGTGTAACAATAGGATACAAAAAATAAATGGTGGAATCTCTAATAATATTTATATGTATATATTGAATGAATGCTTGGGATATGAGTCCCTATACAATTCATATATAATTACAATGAAGGTTTGGTGAAATAATTGTGTTTGGGCTCATGAATATTTTTGATGTACAAAGGGCATTGGAATGCATGCTGAGCACAACTAGTAAGAAATAAATCTGCATTATCGAAATTCAATATTTTATTAACATAATTTTAATTTCATAAAGTAATTAGACATTAATGCATCAAAATTTGCATCTGAGCTAACTGGCTGTAAGTGTCTCCTGGCATTCTGTAAGCAATGTTGCCAGCAAAAGTATTAAGAACTTCTGCCTGTTCTCGCAGCCATTCCACATGCTGAAAAAAATAAAAAACTTCATAAATTACAATATAAAATGCAGAATCAATGTGCTAGTTATATTGCAATCTTGTTAAACTGAAACTGAAATAACATTATGTAGCATTTGTCTTAATGCAGTTGCAGTTGTAGCCTAGTGAATATAGCCAAATCTTCCATCTTTCAACCGGTTTGGATGCACCAGCTTTCTGTTCAGTAGAACTGCTGAGTTCTAGGCTGAAGGGTAATAAGAGCAAGTTTAATTACGGGCTGTGAGGCGTACCATCTGTGCTCAGGGATGATAATACATTCAATTACTTCAATAAAATAAAATGCTGACTTTGCTTACTCTCCAAATTGAAGCAACGAAACAGGTAAATTGGAACCAACATATATGCACTCCCTAGCTCATAATCATCATCATTTTTTTTTATAAAATGAGGGTGACAAACGAGCACACAGTCCACCTGATAGTAAGTGGTTGCTGTGGCCCATAGATATCTACATCTATCTTCATATGTGAATTAAAATGCAGATGTGTTGTCAGCCGTGAGGACTAAGATAGTATGCCTCTTTTCCAGTAAAACAGGTCTCCGGTTCTTTACACTCACTATACGAAACACAGCAGCATTAAGCTGCTATTTTACAATGGTATTCTGTGAAAGCGTGGTCCTTCCCCGGTCGAGCCGACCCATTTGTGCTACAACTAGACTATTAATATAGCTGCAGCATGGCTCTGCCACGTAAATCACAGCCCAACAAAAATCAACTGCCGAACATCGGTCTCCCCCACATAATTGCCTTGCAGGGGAGATATTTTTTTGCCTCCTCCATAGAAAGCCTTGAAGGGGAGATGTTTGCCATGACTGGCAGACGGGTTGACAACAGTTTTTTTATTATTTGACGCTCACAGGATTATATGGGATATTCTTACACTGCGACTACACAGTTTAAACGTTAAACTGAATGCCTTTTATCTACTGGTTTTAAAGGCGATCATGAATCCCAGGTCAGGTAAAAATAGTTTTTTGTTTTACTATCTGTAATCTGTAATTTTATATCATGTAATTCTCAGTAGCAGCCCAGAGTCAGGAAGTTTTTTCACCCCCGTGGCTCGGAAAGCACTTAGTCATTGGTCTTGGGCCTGATTTCTCTTCGAGCGAGACGGAAAACCGTCCCATTGGACTATGAGAGTGAGGGAATAGCGAGTTCTCCTGTGCTTGCCTCAAATGCTTAGTTTTCGTTGAGATTGACCGCCGTGATCGGAATTTGGTCTGGAGAATATTATATAGAGTTCAAACACCTAGTAACCCATGAGCTGTTTTATCAATATTGAGTTAAAAGTTAAAGGATCTGACCTTGGTGGTTTGGTGGGGTGTGTTGTGGTCGTGCGCGGCGCGAAGGCGCTGGCGCTGTGCCAGCAGGATGGTGCAGAGCGCGCGCAGCACGGCGGGCAGGCTGCGCAGCAGCTCGCCGCGCGCCGCCCGCGCCGCCGCCACGCGCGCCTCCAGCTCCGCGCCGCTCAGCGGCACCAGCTCGCATTCGCGCAACGTCTGCACACCCAACACCATCACCATCACCATCAATTGAATACATTAGGGCAGGGACTCACAAAGTGTGCGCTGCGGCGCCCTGATGCATAATAAAGAGCAAAGAGCGGCACCGTGAGGCGCTCCTGTTTACCATTCTCCGGAAACTAAACTTGTGCACTCGCCGATAAGTATTTACGCTCGGAAACTGGTCCAAAATGGATATCCAACTTTAAGTTCTTAAGCTCTAAGAATTTGCAACATCTTATTAACATCGTGGACATTTAAATTTTTGTGCCCATGTACCTAGTATCCCCTATTTCGACTAGCTAGGGCGCCTAGACAAAATACTAAACTGAAATGGATTTTGATACGTAAAACTGATACTATTTTGTGTATTAAACGACGAAACAAGCGTTCCGATGTTGATATAACCCTCAAGTTATTTTGTCCACTTAGGCCCTTTAAGAACTAGAGAGTCACCGACTTACCGTTGAGTCTAGCTGTCGTCAAAACCTCCCAAGAACTTCTCAATGTAACGCATAGGCATATTGTAAAGAAGATTTTTAAACATATTATTTTAAAGGATAATTTCTTATTACCTGACACTAGCAAATGTTTAACCATACGAGCCCACAACCAAAGGGATAAAGAATAGATTAGAAAACAAATTTTAATCATTATTTATAAGACTAAATTTAATAAAAATACTTATGAAAGTCATTTATGACGGCTCCGTAGCGCAGTGACTTAGTAATTATGAGTTCCAGCACTGAAAGTCGCTGATTCGAATCCTACTTGGGACAAGACCTTGTAAAAATATGTATGTATGTAAATAATTATTATTGTGTGATAAAAAGTATGTTTTAAAAGATATTGTGACCAGAATTAAGAAAGGAATACTTCAATGGTGTAGACATGCAGAAAAAAATTAAAAAAACTAAAGAAATTTATGTTGCCGAAAGAAGTGGCAGAGTGGACAACCCAAACTTGTGTATCGACCAAATTGCCGATATATTAAAGATGGGCCAAGTTGAGAGTACCCTTAATCGACGAGCACGTATATATATGAATGTGAAAGAGATGTGCCGAGATGGCGCCAAAGGGAAGTCTCTGCCTACTCCTTTGGGTGTTGTGAGAATCTATGTATACATGTTGCACAGGCAGTCTCTGAATGGAGCGATGCCAATCTTGTGAAATTCAACGCCTCCAAAACGCAAGGCATGTCTCTTTACTGCAAAAAGGAGCCAGCTCATCTTGGCTTCTTTTCGAAATGTATCACTGGAATACCGACCGCAGTTGTTAGAGGTAATAATATTATAACAATCGCGTGTTGCATTGGGTTTGTCAGAAATATTCAATCTTTGCATTCTAATAGAAATTTTATTCACCATGCACATAATAATTTATATCATACAATTATTTTGTATGCACCTTAGAGTAAGACAACCTTTGTCAATTTAAATAGTGTTTTAGTTGAAATAAATTGTTTTACCTATTCCAATTCCTTACGTAACTTGATTTAAAACTAAATTAAAATAAACAAATCAAGGTCCTTACCTCAAGAGCTCCTTCATAATTTTCACTATGGAACTGATCAAAGAATGTCATAAGTTTGCACAGCTTAGTGTAAGCTTCAACTAGCGATGCCGGTAATGCAGTGGTATCGGCATATCGTAGACGTCGGGATACGTGTTCAGCTAACAAAGATAAACGTTGTCGTAATCCACTAGCGCCCCCACCGCTATTCACCACTTGGGCAAGAAGCACACAAAATAGTTCCAGCACCTTTTCCATATTCTGAAATTGAACATCGATGAATGTTAACATATAATAAATAATAATTAAACAAGCATAATTAATATTGAAAAAAAAAACCTAGTTTGTTACGTTGTATCAACGTTGCCCAATTAGATAAATCAATTGATTTACAAGTTATGAGCTGAAAGAAACAGACATACATACATACAACTGATGTCTCCTCTGCCTGTTTAAAACAATAAAGTATACTAAGCTTAACCTAATATCGAGAAAAGAACAGCATGTCTTTGGTTAATTCTTTTTTAAATTCGTAATTAAAAATTAATCCGTTAGTTTTCCATCCCAATGAAATAATGAATGGTTAAATAGCTAAAACCAGCACAAATCGATCTCGAGATTTGCAGGAAAAATTTTGAAACTTTTTTGGAGGTTACAAAATTCAACAAATTATAAAATATACATACCCCAGCAATATCATATACTGTAATAGCATCTTCAAAAAGACCTTTATTTACCAATTGTTCCGCTACATTCAGAGCAATCACCTGTAATTTGTTCATATTAGTTTATCAATAATGCATATAATATTAATTAAAAAAAAATAGAATGCAATGATTTTTAAAACTATCCGATCCTAGAGGTCCCCAGCGCTCATTCCAAAAAATTGTAATTAAGTATTTAAAATTCAATAGGTTAAATTGCTTAATTGCCTAGGGGTTAAGAAATACGAAACTTACACAATAGCTAAGGTCAAAAAGTTGAATTTCTTAACACTTAATAACAACAAAAATATTTACATCATACAAGTGATACAATATAAACAACATATTGAGATATGTAGAGCACATTTTAATTAGTACACGAGAAGAATAATGTATTTATATTTATTAAATATCAATTTTAGCAGCTTATTTTATCCCTGCACATATAGAATATTTTGTACTCTTACCTTACTCTCTATGTGAGGGTTATTAAACTGATCTAATAAACCAGGACTGCTTAATCCTGTCACAGGATCCATTCGACCAAATAGTAATTCATAATCCCGGCTTTCTAATGCAAGGTCTGTACAGCAACACATAAATAAATTTTTACCACTGGGGTCCTTTAGATTCCTACAAATAAAATTTATATGGGTAATGGTTAATACAAGAATAAATAAAATTAACGTGTCTAAGATAGTAAACGGAATCCTTGCCATCAACTTACCTTAGGAAGAAATAATAGTGTAAAGCATCTGAGGGATCGGAAAGTTCAAATTTTCTCACATAAAGTAGAAGCAATCTTGCTAAGTTCAATCTCCGAAGTGGGGGTGGATCATCTGTGTCAACAGATACTAGAAGGAAACAAAAAATAATTAAAATTATGTCATAAAATTAATAAACAAACATATTAAATTAAACCATACATACATAAGGGAGCTTGAACATTCCGTGGTGTACCCAGCATGTAAAGATCATGAAGAGCCAAAGCCATATGGACACCATGTACTTGATACCTGAAATTTCAAACATTTTTAGAAAACAGTTATGCTTATGCTTAATAATCAGTAAATTTGGACATAAAACTTAACAATCAATCACATTTTGTGGGCTATAAAGTGATTTCTTTTTGTTTGGTTAATTTAGTGGGAATAGAATGAAAATAGTTTTTATAAAACATACATACATGTGTTCCAAAAAAAAAAAAAAAAGGAATAAAAGACTTAATCAATTACAAAACACACCTTGGAATTCGCGACAAGAACTCAATAGCTGGTTCAAATTGTCCAGTCAAAGTTAATACTTGGAAATATACAAGTGGTTTTTCATAAGCATGATAATGTGTTTCTCCTGTAAAATAAAAATATACATAAGATGTGATGGTTACATAAAAAAATAATTACAAATGTAATATATGTAGTTAATTATAGTTACATCTCAGTGATATTTAACAAAACAAAAAAATAACATGCGTGAGTGTCGTGGAGCACTCTGTTCGAACGAAGTTCCTTTCGTAGTATATTATTATTGATAAACGTATTATATTATTGATTAACAAATACATATAAATGAATTACTAGCGTCTATGAAAATGAAGCGTCATTTAAAATAATATTTCTTTCATGGCAAGGTAAGAAAAAGTGCGAGGGAGATGGATATTATTCCATCTCGCTCGCACTATAGAAATGGGGGTCGTGACGGAAACATCTTATACTTTTTCTCGCCTAGGCCCCATCCGCCAAATTCGTACCGTGCGATAAGGAACTTCGTTCCAAAAAAATATATGTATCAAATATATTATGTATACGAAGCATGCAAACCAACATAATATTTTGGAAATATGAGTCATCATTTTGATCCATGAATATAAAATTTGTTATTAACTAGGCTACAATGTCGTCAATCGGATCCTAGCACACCTATAAACCATTGTCTTGAGATTTGTTATATCATATATACTACACGCAGTATATTATATACTAGCTGTTCCCGGCGACTGCGCCCGCGTGGAATTTTTTTGCGCGGTACCCTAAAATAAAAGTAGTCTAGATTATTCATAACATCACCTATCTACCAGTGAAAGTTCTATCCAAATTGGTTCACAGGATTTTGCGTGATGCGTGTTCAGACAGACGTCGTGTTAAGAGTTTTATTATAGTTTTTTTTTTTTTACTTATTAGCCAGTGCTTGACCAAAATACCACCTGGTGGTAAGTGGTGATGCAGCCTTAGATCGTAAAATCGCACTGTCTTATCGTAAAAGCCTATTCACTCCTACCTTGAAGACGCCCAGATTGTATTCGGACGGAAAGATATTCCACTCCTTTATTGTACGCATTACTAAAGACGAAGCAAACCGTTTGGTTCTAATGCGTGGAATATCGACAACAAAGGGTGAAGACCCGCCTACCGCCTGGTTGTCCGATGGCGGAAACGAGAGGGAGGAATTAAAGCGTGTAATTCCTGCGCGCACTCACCGAAATGCATCCTATAGAATACCGAGAGACTGGCTACTCTGCGCCTGTGCTCGAGGATGACAAGATTGGTTTCAACCAAATCAAGGTCACCAATGAGCCTCTTAGCACGTCTCTCCACTGAGTCCAATGCTGCCAGGTGGCATTTTGCAGCACCAGCCCATATGTGACAGCAATACTCCATGCACGACCGGACTTGCGCTTTATATAAGGTAAGTAGCTGCCCCGGCGTGAATTATCGCCGCACCCTTGCAAGGATACCAAGTTTTCTTGCGGCTACTTTGGCTCTGGACTCAATGAACCGCCCATAGTTTAGGTTCGGAGAAAATTCAATCCCTAATAACTGAAGGCGGTCAGTGTACTCCAAAGATACATTCCGGAAAGTAGGAACCAAGGTGAGCGGGCTCCTCTTAGCGGTAAAAAGACATGCTTGTGTTTTGGAGGCGTTAAATATTACGAGATTGGCATCACCTCATTCGGAGACTGCCTGTAGTGTTAGACTCACACGCTCAACCATATAGATTATATTAGTAGATTATAGTAGCAGGATATTATTGAGTCCATATATAAGTAAAATCTAAAATATAACCTTAGGTGGTTTGTAAATATAAGTAATTTAATCAAGTTACATACATTTGGTAGTGTAAAAAATTATTTGTGCTTGTACTACATTATTATTATTACTCTACTCTACGAGTACTCTTTGTTATTGTTTGTTGTACAAAAAAGCGCAATTAAAAAATGGAAAAATAAAAATAATTCTGAACAAAATTACACATAAAACAACATACCATATTCTTCCAAAATCAATTTTTGTAAGTCGGAATATGTAAAAGGTTCTGGTTCGTTATTAGGACGAGACTTTATAATTGATAGTTTCAACCAAAGGTAATCGTCTGCTGTGCGCGCTACCTCCGAGTGCTCATCACTAACGTCGCAACAACCTACAACACAGTATACCTAGAAAAAGATAAAATATGGTCTGTTATTACAGTAAAACAAGTGGTAAAATTAAACATTTTGTACAACCAACTTCAATATAAATATAATGCGAACATCATCAATGTAGTCGAATTCAATTAAATACGCATTATTAACGATAACTCAAAACTACTGGTCAGATCTTGATCATATTTATATGGGACCACATAAGAAGCACCAGCTTTCAAATAAAATAGAATCATCAAAATCGGTTCATTTAGAAAAAAGTTCTGAGGTAACACACAAAACAAATACAGACGAATTGAGTACCTCCTCCTTTTCTGAAGGCGGTTAAAATTACTCAACTTCGCTTTAAATGATTTGTACTGACTGCAAAAACGGTACAAAAAATGTTTCCATTTGTTAAATTTTTATTATAATTCATTACTTTATTACAGACAAAGTATACAGATTGTCTCCTAGGGGGGATTTTGCCATAGTTGCCATATCGGGCCGAAAAGTTTGCAACTGCAGTTTTATTCATCATCATTACAGCCTATCACAAGTCCACTGCTGAACATAGGCCTCCAACGAACAATGCCACAAAGCACGGTCCTGAGCCACCTGCATCCATCGACTTCCTGCATGTTTTGCCTAGTCGTCACTCCATCTAGTGATGGGTCGCCAAACACTTCGCCTACCGGTACGAGGCTGCCACTCGAGAACCTTTCTTCCCCATCGGTTGTCGGTTCTTCGAGCTATATGGCCGGCCCACTGCCACTTCAGCTTACTAATCCGTTGGGCTATGTCGGTTACTTTGGTTCTACTGCGGATATACTCATTTCTAAGTTTATCACGCAGAGAAACCCCGAGCATAGCCCTCTCCATAGCTCGCTGAGCGACCTTGAGCTTCCTCATACGGCCAGCAGTGAAGGACCACGTCTCAGATCCGTAAGTCATCACTGGCAATACACACTGGTTGTACAATTTCGTTTTCAGGTTTTGAGGTATTTCCAACGATAAGATGTGTCGTAGTTTCCCGAACGCTGCCCAGCCGAGTTGAATCCGTCGATTGACCTCTCGGTCGAAGTTGGACTTACCTAGTCGGACTATTTGTCCCAAGTAAACATACTCGTCAAGAACTTCGAGTTAGTGCTCCCAACAACTACTGTTTTTGCAATAAATAAATAAACTACCGGCATAGGTGTGACATGGACGTTATACATGATCTTTGTTTTGTCCATGTTCATCTTAAGACCTATCCGTTGGGAAACACTACTGAGGTCATTGAGGATAGTGCTTAGGTCCTCCAGCGATTCTGCCATAAGGACTATATCGTCGGCAAATCGAAGGTGAGTGATGTACTTGCCATTGATGTTAATACCGCATCCTTTCCAGTCCAGTAGCTTGAAAAGTCTTCCAATGCAACGGTGAAGAGTTTCGGGGATATAACGTCACCCTGTCTTACACCTCTCTGCAGTTGGATAGGTTTCGTACTCTGATTCCATTGTAGCTCTACTGTACAAACACTTCAGCACCTCGATATACCGACAGTCAACTTGGCACCGCTGAAGGGACTGCAGCACCGCCCAAATTTCGACGGAATCAAAGGCTTTCGCATAGTCCACATACGCCAGACATAGGGGCAAATTGTACTCCTCGGACTTCTGTACAACTTGCCGAAGGGTATGTATGTGGTCTATGGTGCTAAAGCCCTTTCGGAAACCGACTTGTTCGGGAGGCTGGAAGTCGTCAAGTCTGCGCGCGAGACGATTCGTAATGACTCTCGAAAACAGCACGTAGACGCGGCTCAGAAGGGAAATCGGTCTGTAGTTCTTCAAGAGAGCGTTGTCGCCTTTCTTGAAGAACAAGACCACCGCACATCTGCTCCACGCCTCCAGAGTAGTGCCACCATGGAGGACGGAATTAAAGAGCTTCTGAAGGACTTCAAGTACCGGTTTTCCACCCGCTTTCAAAAGCTCCGCTGTAATTCCATCCTCGCCCGGGGACTTGCCATTTTTAAGGTCCTGGAGAGCCATTCTAATCTCGCTCAGACTGACGTCTGGGACATCTTCGGAATAGTGTCGGATAAGACTCGCTCTTGGAATGTTACTCACACTTGCGTGTGGCTCCAACGATGACGTGTACAGCTGCCCATAGGACCTCTCTATCTCACTCAAAATCTCAGATGTTCCGGAAACGATGCTGCCACACTCGGTCTTCAGCTTTGACAGTTTGCTCTTTCTGGCATACAAATCTCTGGCAAATACTTTGGAGCCTTGGTTCCGCTCGATTGCTTCTTCAATACAAGCTGTATTAAAGTTGCGCAAGTCCCGCCGCATGCATTTCGAGATCTGTCTGTTCAGTTGCCTGAATGCTGTCAAATCTGTTGAAGAATGTACCTTCATCTCCCGTCTAACAGCCATGAGATTAAGAGTGTGATCGGAGAGATTTTGTATTCTTCTGCGACGGGTCTTGCAGAACTCAGCTCCGACCGCATGGACAGTTTCCACGAGCTTGTCATTCATATCGTCCACTTCATTGCAGTCTTCTAGGCACTGAAAACGGTTGTGTAACTCGAGCTGAAAGATTTCGGGACTTTGGAACAGAGCATGAGGGGGACGGAGCGTTGACTTCATTAGACGAGACCTCTCCAACTTAACGTTTAGGTTCAGTGTGCCTCTAACCATTCGGTGATCGCTACTAGTTTTCACCCTCGTGATCACGGAGACATCACTGAACTTATCCGAGGTCCGATGACACGGCAATCCTCGAATCCGGCAACTTGCTCTATCACCGGGAGGGCGACCATCTGTCCCAAGGAGGTGTCGGATTTATCGTCCACAAGTCTCTCGTTAACAACGTTGTAAAGATTGGGAGTGTGTCGACGAGGTTTGCGTACTTTATACTCGGAATCACCAAACGGTATTCGCTGAAGGTCATACAGGGTTACGCACTAACCTCGGCACACCCCGATGACGAGGTGGAGGAAATGTATGAAGATATCTCTAGAACTATGCATTCCTCCAAAACCCACTATATGGTGTTAATGGGAGACTTCGACGCAAAACTAGGCACAAGAGAGAATGGTGAGCTGAAAGTAGGGAAATTCGGATTAGGGCAACGGAACCCAAGGGGCCAGCAGCTGGCCGACTTCATAGAGAAAGAGGGACTCTTTATGATGAACTCTTTTTTTCAGAAGCGGCCCCACAGGACGTGGACCTGGTCGAACCCGGTTCGACAAAAAATGAGATTGAGAATGAGTTCTCTCTTGTGCCTAGTTTTGCATTGAAGTCTCCCATTAACACCGTATAGTGGGTTTTGGAGGAATGCATGGCTCTAGAGATATCTTCATACATTTCCTTCACCTCCTCATCGGGATGTGCCGAGGTTGGTGCGTAAACCTGTATGACCTTCAGCGAATACCGTTTGGTGATTCTGAGTATAAGGTACACAACCCTCGTCAACACACTCTCAATCTTTACAACGTTGTTAACGAGAGACTTGTGGACGATAAATCCGACACCTCCTTGGGACAGATGGTCGCCCTCCCGGTGATAGAGCAAGTTGCCGGATTCGAGTATTACCGTGTCCTCCCCCTCTCTTCGGACCTCGGATAATCCTATAATATGCCAGCGAAACTTGTCTATCTCTTCTTCCAGCTCCAACATCTTCTCCTCAGTCCTCAGGGTGCGTGCGCTGTATGTTGTCTTAGGTGGCAACCCAACCTCAACCGGAGATTCTTAGCACCCCCTGCCCCACCGTTACCATGGTCGCCACCGTAGCCAGGAATAGCGGGACCGCCGGGGACTGGGGGCCGTCTTTTTGTTACCTTCATTGGGGGGTATTTGCCATAGTTGCCACGCTTGGCGAGCTGGTTGGCAACCGCCGTTTTTTTATTGTAATTTTGCTGTTATCAGGAAGATGCTGCTGCCCATCTTCTGCCTATTTCCTTTGTCGCCTTTTACGACACCCACGGGAAGATATGGGGTAGTGGATATTCTTAACCGCCACTACACAGCAGTTTTATTACTTTCAGTTATTATATGGAAGATGTTGTTGTTCATCTCCTGTTTCGGTATCCCTCTATCGCCTTTTACGACACCCGCAGGATAATACGGTGTAATGCATATTCTTACTCCGCCATTACAGAGCGATAATAGCATAATATAATTTTGCATACGTACTGCTCTTTTGTACGGATCTGTGGAGTTTCGCACTTGTATTCTATATTGAAAATTAATGGCTGTCTGCAATTTTTCACTCAGTGACTTTTCTGGGTTTCTGATATGTTCCTCAAGAGCTGCTATAAATTCCTCGTGATCACGACTGAAAGGTAATTATTTTAATAAAAGCAAAAAGTTTAAAATATTTGTAATACTCTAAAAGGAATATTAAAAAAGATGGGTTATGGATAATCTTTTATAAACATTTTACTCTTAATATCCCAAGACTGGTATGTACAAAATAATAATTTTCAAATCAATAATATTTAATGTTAAGCTTACCCTGCTTTTCGTAAACAATGCAAGGCAGCATTGGCATCTCCGCTTCTCAGACAATAGTATATCATAGGCCAAAGGGGCCGATCATCAACCACACCGTCTGTTAGGCCTTGACTACTCTGACCCTGAAGACGAAGTCCTACAAAGCCTCGTACTAAAGGATAAGTCCCAGGTTCGCCACCTCTCATCGCTGCAGCAGGGTTTGCACGTACCACATCACTCATGTATTGCTTGTACCTATTAATATCACAAGAAATTTAATGTTTCATTACTTTGTCTTATACAAATTATTATCTATTAGTATGTGAAGGGAAAACTTCAGCACACTTTTTTAGCATATAGAGGGCTGCAAAAAGTTAAAATTTATGTATAAATATGTCTTACTATAAATAATTGTTAACAGATGGAAGTAAACAAGCTGTCAATTTTGTGTGAACTCTTACTCTAACATCCCTTATTCTAAAGACAATAGATAATATGTCAAAGCAAATTTTTCTTTAATATATTTTATATGGAATATCTGTGTCATAATGTGCAGTTGAAAGTGAAATACTGCTCGCTTAATATAGAAACCTAATAATTATACATTATGTCATAATAAATATTTTAGATGAATTTAGTTAATGTTACGTAGCAGCGTGATGATTATTAAAATGGGAGAAAATTAATTTACCAAGATCTAAATTAGACATGGAACGAGTAGTGATTCGCCGAGTACTCGGCTTAGATCGGGCCGAGTACTCTGCCGAATACTCGGCTTTAAAAAAAACGCGGTAGCGGACAGCGGGCGGTTATTTCCCTTACACAGAGTTAGAGATGAAACGATAAGAGTAAATACAAGTAGTTACTCGATATTTTTCTTTCGATATCAAGTACTTTGGGTATCGATACTTTAAAACCCAGTACCAAGTAGTACCGAAAGAAAAGTACTTGTATCGGTACTCGATCAGTCACACCCACGGACACTGTTGACGAGTGGTTACTGATTACTTGTCAAATGAGACGAGTTCATGTTCGAGAGATTTTCTTGTTATCTGGCGCGAAAATGACTGCTTATAGAAATCGTTTTATGGGAAAACATCTAGAAAAATTATTGCTCTTCCTTTAATAAATTTTAAATATTAGTAATAATAATTTCTATTATAGATTCATATGTACGTTCTAAATATTTCTGCTGCTTCTCATGTTCCTGATGTTTTAATGTGTCTAATATAATAATAATAACAACTGGCTTTTTGTCTTTATTTTTCTCTGGAATCTGGTCGATTGATCTCTCGGTCGAAGTTGGACTTACCTAGTCGGACTATTAGTCCCAGGTAAACATATTTGTCAACAACTTCGAGTTAGTGCTCCCAACAACTACCGGCATAGGTGTGACATGGACATTAAACATGTCATCTTTGTTTTGTCCATATTCATCTTAAGACCTATCCGTTGGGAGACACTATTGAGGTCATTTAGCATGGTGCTTAGGTCCTCCAGCGATTCTGCCATAAGGACTATATCGTCGGCAAATCAAAGGTGAGTGATGTACTCGCCATTGATGTTAATGCCGTATCCTTTCCAGTCCAGTAGCTTGAAAAGTCTTCCAATGCAACGGTGAAGAGTTTCGGGGATATAACGTCACCCTGTCTTACACCTCTCTGCAGTTGGATAGGTTTCATACTCTGATTCCATCGTAGCTCTACTGTACAAACACTTCAGCACCTCGATATACCGACGGTCAACTTGGCACCGCTGAAGGGACTGCAGCACCGCCCAAATTTCGACGGAATCAAAGGCTTTCTCATAGTCCACATACGCCAGACATAGAGGCAAATTGTACACCTCGGACTTCTGTACAACTTGCCGAAGGGTATGTATGTGGTCTATGGTGCTAAAGCCCCTTCGGAAACCGGCTTGTTCGGGAGGCTGGAAGTCGTCAAGTCTGCGCGCGAGACGATTCGTAATGACTCTCGAAAACAGCACGTAGACGCGGCTCAGAAGGGAAATCGGTCTGTAGTTCTTCAAGAGAGCGTTGTCGCCTTTCTTGAAGAACAAGACCACCGCACATCTGCTCCACGCCTCCAGAGTAGTGCCACCATGGAGGACAGAATTAAAGAGCTTCTGAAGGACTTCAAGTACCGGTTTTCCACCCGCTTTCAAAAGCTCCGCTGTAATTCCATCCTCGCCCGGGGACTTGCCGTTTTTAAGGTCCTGGAGAGCCATTCTAATCTCGCTCAGACTGACGTCCGGGACATCTTCGGAATAGTGTCGGATAAGACTCGCTCTTGGAATGTTACTCACACTTGCGTGTGGCTCCAACGATGACGTGTACAGCTGCCCATAGAACCTCTCTATCTCACTCAAAATCTCAGATATCCCGGAAACGATGCTGCTACACTCGGTCTTCAGCTTTGACAGTTTGCTCTTTCTGGCAGACACATCTCTGGCAAATACTTTGGAGCCTTGGTTCCGCTCGATTGCTTCTTCAATACAAGCTGTATTAAAGTTGCGCAAGTCCCGCCGCATGCATTTCGAGATCTGTCTGTTCAGTTGCCTGAATGCTGTCAAATCTGTTGAAGAATGTAACTTCATCTCCCGTCTAACAGCCATGAGATTAAGAGTGTGATCGAAGAGATTTTGTATTCTTCTGCAACGGGTCTTGCAGAACTTAGCTCCGACCGCATGGACCGTTTCCACGAGCTTGTCATTCATGTCGTCCACTTCATTGCAGACTTCTAGGCACTGAAAAAGATTATGCTAACCTTTTAAATAACACCCATTATAAAAGTTAACATTGTGGCGTTTTATTTGGTGCAAGAGCGAGCGAAGCGAGCTCAGGACTTGGGGTATCCCGACTCGGACAGGTTAGGTTAGAAGGGAATGGCGAATCCGAGTGAGCGAGCGAACAGACCCCTCTATCCCCTTTGTGGTTATTTTTATAAACCACCCAGAAACTTTTGTATTACTTCAAAAATTTTATTAGTTGCTTACCCTCTAGGTGCTTACCAAAATTTTATAAACATAAGTCACTCATTGTAACTTATATAATTAATATGCTGTACTAAAAAATTTACAGTTGTCCAGAATGTCAAAAATTGCCAATTGATTTAATGATGTGTGCCAGCCGTTGTTTTCTGACCAATTATCTATCTCTGCTGCTAGATTACATTTCTCTGCTGACAAAAACATGAATACTATGCTAACCCTTTAAATAACACCCTTATAAATATAACTGCAACAAATATTTGTCAACAATTTTATTTTAATTACCTTTTCTCTAAATATTTCTTTCCTTGAGCTATCAAACACTGTTGAATAGTAGGATTTCCTCTAGCTTTTAATGGATCTTCATCCCTAACAAGCGCTGGTATGTTTGCCATCGTTTTAATAATCTCCCACATTTCTTTGACTTTCTATAAAATAAAGTAAAAATATTACTAATCACAATTATTATTATAATGAATATTTTATTCAATCAAAAAGTCATTTTGTTAAGTGATAAAGTCTCATTTCATTTTACAGTGCCTAGATATAACTGAAAGAAACTTACGAGAAGTGTAGACTTATTGAGGTTATGCTACTAACATGACAAAGTTAAACTCAAATATTTTAGGAGATACTTAAATAAATTATTTATTGTACACATATATATTGAAGCTCCCAGTAGGCACAGCTTTTTCCGACTTATGCCCAAATACTCAAACAATGTTCAATTTTAAAATGCTGTTAACTTTCATGCTATCTCTATCACTTTAAGTCAAAGAGACTGTGACACCACGAGACTTAACGACGTCTTAAAATTGAGTAGCGTTTGAGCATATCAACATAATAACATTAGCTAGTCTGCGTAAAACATTCATATTTTCATATAAAATAAAATAAATCTTCTTTTTCAATAAATCTACCTATTGATGAAAATTAAATAAAAAGCTCCACAATAGTTTCCGAGTGTGGTCATACAGAAGGATAGAGGGATAGATACTACCTTTTGTACTATGTATAGATTAAGTGAACATTATGTAAATGCAGAAAACTGCAGTTCAATTATTACTTACTAGCTTTTGCCTGCAACTTCGTCCGCGTAGGTATTATACTTTAAACCACAGGTGATTCATCAAAAATCGCACTTTCATAGTAAATTTCATCACCCTCTTTAGGGATGATTTCCGTAATCAAAGCTAATTTCCTTCCCCGGGACTTAAACTGTCTCTATATCAAGTTTCATCTAAATCAGTTCAGCGGTGTAGTGTTTGCATATATGTAGTATACAGTAAATATTGTTATTTGTTTTATTTACTAATAATTTACCATGCACAAATACACAAACATACATTTATATATAAGTCACTGTCTCGAGCGCACCACGTCAGTTACACGAGAGCCTCGGGCGACAGTGGACGTGTTTAGTTAAGTGCGTGCCGAGCCTGTGTTACATTACAGCGATTAGAGAAGATAACAGACATTACAAGCGGTTTAAGCGTGAAGAGGTACATTTGCTCACGCGGCGATGTACGATGTTTTCCCCCACCTCACCCGCAGTACGCTCGACCGCACTGCGCGCGCCGGACCGCACAATTTTATATCGTCCTTACTATTAAAATATTTGACCAAATTACGTAATTTATATTTTGACTATTTTACACAATATGTTTATTAATTATAGCCTATGTGTTGTTATGATGTAAAAGCTATATTATTGTCAAGTTTCATTAAAATACATTCAGTAGTTTTTGCGAAGAAGAGTAACAAACATCCTCACAAAGTTTCACATTTATAATTTTTTTTTTATAGGATAAGGGTGACAAACGAGCACACAGTCCACCTGATGGTAAGTGATTGCTGCGGCCCATAGACATCTACATCTATCCTCTGTTACAAATCAAAATGTAGAAGCGTTGTCACGCGTGAGGACTAAGATGGAATGCCTCATTTCCAGTAAAAAGGGCCTCCGGCCACCTGCACTCACCAAGCGAAACGCAGAGGTAAACCTCTACTTCACGCTGGTTTTCTGTGAGGTCGTGATACTACCCCGGTTCGAGCCGGCCCATCCGTGCGACAGCAAAAGCTGCCGCGTGGCTCTACCACTGTTAAAGTATTATTAGTAGGAAATAGGACTGTTTACCTTACCAAGTTTTCACTCATCCTTTGGATTATCCCTATTAAAGTTCATTATTGAAATCTTTATTGTTTATGAGATATCAAGGAAAGCAATGAACTTTTTGAGAATTATTTTTGTAAATATACTATTTATAGAACAATAATTTTAAAAATGCGAGCAGACATAACATTCTTTTTAGTTAATGTGAGCAATTGAGGTATGCACACCTCAATGGCACATACAGTATGTAATTATACAATCAGAGTATGAATCTGAGATTCATCACAGTGCATATCTTTCGCTTTTGGCATTTTCGTTTAGTCTAAAATAATATATATTTGTTGCATATATATATGGCAGTGGAAAGGAATCCAACACCCCATTTTATCTTGTTGGTGTTGTGAGAGCATTAAATATTATATGTATTATATCTCATTCATAAACACATATTAGTATATCTAGTATTAGTTGACACAAAATAGTTAGAAGTGTATGATATATGTATAGCAAAACTATGTTATGTTGATAGAATAACTCAATATAATCTCATGTCTAGAGGGTTTGCCTAACTTAAAGGATAATTTGTTAAACAGAAGTAAATTCAACAAAGTCTGCTTTAAGTATAATGCTGTTTTTTTTTCCCTTTCAAAAACACCTGTTGTGAAATGCAATCAGGAGGAAATTGCAAATCATCAGCATACAAACTTACCATGTCATTTAACTCCTCAGCAACTTGGGCAAACTTCTGATGTAACACCGTTCTTGACTTAGATCCTTGAAATACTAATTTGTTATACTGATGCACTTGTCGAGCATATGCAGCTTCTATGTTATCTAGCATAGAATGGCCAAACTTCTTTGGAGTGTCAGCAATACTGGGAGGTTCAGGTGTTCTTTTAAGGTCCAGCCAGTTCTGTGATGGCCCTATCATTGCATTCATGAGTTTTAATTTTTCTTTGTTCCATTCAGAGAGCATGTGTTCCCATTTTTGGTCTTCTGTTGTTTGTAGTGACTAAAAATAAACAAATATTATTTTGGGAAGAACCTACATTGTTAAATTTCGGAAGCAGTGCTGAAGCTTTTTAAAAACAACTAAATATGTCTCGATGACATTTAATTAACTATTTCATTACAATAATGAATTAAAACTAATTCAGTACAATACTGACTTCCTTAACTAGGTGATTACAATACAACGATGAGCACTATAATGAAAATAATTCTAAATGAAACTGCTTTTATAGGATGGTCAAAACAAGCATGTTGACTGCAAGTAACCTTGGTTTGACCAGCAATAACAATTATACAGGAATCAGAGACTTCTGCAACATTACACTTCATAACATGTTTTGAGTAATCTAATATCATTAAAGCTTAGTTGGCAAAATTCGTAATTAACATGTAAAATTATGGCTACTTGCAAATATCATGTTTACGAGTAATCTAATATCAAAACATTAGTCAGGACAATTTGGAATAAACAGATAGTTATGATATTACAGCTACTACCAGATTACATAACTACATGAAAAATAACAAATTGCAGCTGAAAATGCTAAAACAGTTTAGTAAAAACCAATGAATTTCATAGATAGTATAACCATACAAATTATTTGAATTTGGATCTGTATTTATGAATTTTTTTTTTATAGAAGAGGGGGCAAACGAGCATGCGGCCCATCTGATGGTAAGTGACTACCGCCGCCCATGAACAACCGCAACACCAAGGGAATTGCAGATGCGTTGCCGGCCTTTTAGAAAGGTGTAAGCTTTTTTTTTTTTGAAGGTCCCTAAGTCGTATCGGTCAGAAAAAATCGCCGGTGGTAAACAATTCCACAGAGAAGTTGTATGAGGAAGAAAACTCCTAATAAAACGTACAGTCGTGTACCGCCAAGCATCCAGATGGTGAGGATGGTATCGTGAATTTTGACGCGATGTGCGTTCGTGAAATTTGGTGGCTGGAATCAATCCGAACAATTCCTTAGAGCACTCCCCGTGGTAAATTCGATAGAAAATGCAAAGGGATGCAACATCCCTACGCAGTGCCAGTGTATCGAGCCGATCAGAAAGAACTCGGTCGTCGAAGATTCGACCGCTCTGCGTTGGATGCGGTCAAGTGGAAGGAGCTGGCACTGGGGTGCCCCGGCCCAGATATGAGAACAGTATTCCATATGAGGCAGAACTTGCACTTTGTAAAGTTGCAAGCGATGTGCCGGCATGAAATACTGTCTCGCTCTGCTGAGCACGCCAAGATTTTTAGAGGCCAATTTGGCCTTCCCTTCAAAGTGAGCAAGAAACTGCACACTACTCGATATGTCGACGCCGAGGATTCCGATGCTAGCTGAGGCAGCAAGAGGAGTGCCTTGAAACTGAGGAGATACAACAAAGGGGTTCTTTTTAGCGGTAAACGCGCAAATTTGTGTCTTCTGGGGATTGAACTGAACTAGATTTAGTCGCCCCCAATCTGAGACTTTGTTCAGCAAAGACTCGACTTCAGACACAAGTTTGTCCCGGTACTCGGCGACGTTTTCCCGAGAAATATTGGCACGGCCGGTTATTAAGGCATCACCAGTGCTGTCGTCTGCATAGCAATTAATGTTACCAGTTTGCAACATATCATTGGTATGCAGGAGAAATAGTGTTGGTGATAGCCCGCAGCCTTGTGGAACACCAGCGTTGATAGGCTTGAAATCAGAGCATGCACCGTCTACTACGACCTTGATGCTCCGATCAGCAAGGAAACTGGTGATCCATTTGCACAATTTCTCGGAAAGTCCATAGGAAGGAAGCTTCAAAAGAAGCGCTTTGTGCTAGACCCGCTCGAAGGCCTTCGCTATGTCCAAACTAACGGCCAATGCCTCCCCCTTGGACTCTACTGCCTCCGCCCATCTATGAGTTAGGTAGACCAGAAGATCACCAGCTGATCGACCCCGACGAAAACCGTACTGGCGGTTACTAATCAACTGGTGATCCTCAAGGTCACGTCATGGGCTGGCAGTTTATAATGGAATCCATTATTTTCGAGAACAAGGAGGTGATGGCGATAGGCCTGTAGTTGGACGGGTCTGAGCGATCGCCTTTTTTAGGGATCGGGTGGACCAATGCTGTCTTCCATGAATTCGGGACTACGCCTTGGGAGTAGGAGTACCGGAAAAGACGCGTTAAAACCGGTGCCAACTCCAGAGCACACGTCTTCAGCACAATGGGAGGGACTCTATCAGGCCCACTCGATTTGCTGACGTCCAGGAAGGAGAGTGCTTTGCGAACCGAGCGCTGTGTAAACCGCATATCCGGCATGGAGCACTCACACCGCGGGATGGTCGGCGGTGTATTCCCCCCGTCATCTAGAGTCGAGTTAAACGCAATGAGTGAGCTCAACAGATCGGCTTTCTCCTTCGCGGCATGGCCCAGTGAGTTGTCCTCGCTGTGCAAAGATGGAAGAGATGGCTGATAAAAGTTCCCTTGGGACAGCCTTGGCGAGAGACCAGGGTTCCCGAAGGAAGGCGAACTAGCTTCTCGCCAATTCTGCCGATGTGTTCAGACCTTACCTTGGGAATGACGCTTTTGAGGGACGTGGAGGCGAAATTATACTTCTTTTTAAGAACGCTGGTGTTTACATCCCGAAACGTTGATGCGTCAGCCCAGGCCCGGTAGCACTCCTGCTTATAGCGTGATGCTATTTTACAGGAGCGACCAAACCATGGCTGGGATCTGCCTCCGATGGGCACCACAGAGGATGGAATAAAAAGTTCCATATCCTGAAGTACCACATCAGCAACAGAATCAGCAACAATGCTGGGATCTTCCATCGAGAAGCAAGCCCGCCCTCAAGGGTAGGATGCAAAAAAGACCGCATCCTGTCCCAATCGGTCGACCTATAGTGCCAAACACGGCGGTAAGCTGCAGATCGCAACTGCGATGGGAGCGTGAGTGGCACCGTACTCCGGATCAGACAATGGTCCGAAGAGCCCAGAGGGGCATCGACGGAGACCTGACATTCGTCCGGATGAGAGATCAGCAGAAGGTCCAACAAAGAAGGTACGTGATCCTCCACATCTGGGATCCGCGTAGGCGAAGTAACCAGTTGTGTTAGACCGTATGCCAAGGCAAAGTCATAGCCAGATCTACCCGCATGATCGGTTAAACGAGAACCAAGCCATTCAGCGTGGTGGGCGTTAAAATCACCGAGCATCACAATCTCTGCGAAAGGGACCTGTTGTAGCACAGAGTCTGCAGCCATTTAGACGTGGTCGATGAGTCGGTCGGTGTCGGCATTACGGTTGAAATTTAGAATCGTTTGGCAGGAGGAGGGGGTTGAGGGGAGGGGAAGGGGGGGGGGGGAGCGTCCCCTTAATCCCGACACCACTCCCATTAAAAGGTAATACACCATTCTTGAGAAAAATCAAAAAGAAAATCCCATTGACCTAACCTGAAAGTAATATTTATCGTCTCCGGCAGGGGGGGAAGTGGGTAGCAGGAGTGTGCCCTATCAGGGAAAGCCCCTCTACCCTACCCTCGTTGCGGAAAAGTAAATAGTTTATGAGTAATGATTTTTTTTGTAAAATTATAACCTCACTTTTTTACACAGGAATATTGACTCAAAGTTACTTCTACAACGACTTCGGCGCTGCGGGAAGTGCAGCCCCTTCGCCCTTGCGTAGCGGCTGAGGCTGCGGAGGTGCCTGCGATTTACTACAGCGGGCGGGGGCTGCTCACACTTTAGGAGTAGGGCAGACAAGACTACATGGAGTCGGGGCGGGCTGGTTTCATTTTAGTACAGATTTGATCAGATCAGATATCTATAAAGTCAGGTTGCCTTCACTCCCGCCACAACCTTCTAACCTATTACAACTGAAATTATTTCTGGGTATTCAAGTATTTCTGGGCAGTTTTAAACAATTCAGAAATATAAAAGCTTTTACAAAAATTTACTTCGCAAATATCCGCGTTATAATTTATAACGCGGATATTTGCGAAGTAAATTTTTGTAAAAGCTTTTATATAATGAATTTCCGCAAAGTAACGCCTGATTCTATTAATTAAATTCAGAAATAAACCAGTAGAATAGAATAGAATAGAATATTTTTTATTCAATATACATTACATGTGTAATTCTTATTGAAAGTCATTTTTTACTTTACCACTGGTTCGAAAAAAACCCTCTGTCCTGGGAAGAACCAGCAAGAAACCCAGCGGGACTTTTTTTTTAAAATAAATTTTACAATATAAATGTATATTATAATCATTTCTTTATTGTCTGCAAATTATTTTTTTTTATTAACTATTCAAAAGGATCTCTTTTATTCCTTATAATTTCTCTTCTCCATAAATATTCATATAACAAGTTGGTAAAATTTTCTCTATTATTATAGTTGTCGTTAGTGAAATTTCTCTTGACAGAGAGTATAGACAGTAGAATAATGTGACACTAGTCTTACGTCCTTGTCGCACTTACACAAAATTCTGTATGCTATCTAGCTTTCACAGTAATTTTTCCATGTTTTACACTTTTTAGGTTATAATAGTTTTTATTTATTTTTTCGATAATGGTGCATTACCTTTTAATGTGAGTGGTATTATTATAATCGGGGACCAAATCTCTACCAAATAAAACACCTTACTCCGCCAAATTCATGCCAAACGATTGTAAATCCAACCCGGCATTACCGCTATAGGACCTATAGAGGCACCCATACACGGGGATGGTCGTCGCTGTCTACGCGCAGCCATAGGATGGACTGGCCTGAGTCTCAGTGAAAAAGATCAAGACCGGCTTCGCCGTCTCTAGATGGTAATGGCCAGTGTTAATGTTGCAATGATGTCCCCTGATGTTGCAAAAATTCACAGATAATGTGACAGGGGTCACCTTGGTTTTATTGCTCCGCTTGCCCCGATTGGCGTGGGGGGGGAGGGGGGGGGGGGAATTTGGCCTCCGGCCACCTGCACTCACCAAGCGCAACACAGAGCTAAACCTCTATTTCCCACTGGCAAAAGCTGCCACATGGCTCTACCACTGTTAATCATCTATTCTATTACTATTAGTATATTGTACAAGTCCTTTTATTAAGGAATTAGGAAAAAAACTTCAGACAAGTTTGCTTTTCATTGAATAAATATTGAATATAAAATACATACAATATAATAGTTTTATATTCTACTTACATTTTTATTAACCTCATCAATAAGTGATAAAATAGCATTTTCTCTTTCATTTTTCAAGAAACTTTCAACATCTGAATCCGCAATAGGTTGAAGCGGTTCAAATGTTCGTTTTGAACTCAGTGTTTCTAACTTTTGAGATATCTGTTGCAGATCGATGCCTTTTGATCCAAACAAAAGATGTCTATAAAATATAAAATACCATATAGAAAAATAAAACCTACAGCCTATATATGTCCCCCTGCTGGGCACAGGTCTACCCTCATTTCTGAGAGGTATTTAGGGTAAGGAAATGTACGCCGCGCTGCCCCAATGCGTGTTGGCGAACTTCACAGGTAAATTGCTTCAAAATTAAAATTGCAATTAACAATTTCATTGGTGGCCGTGGGGATCGAACCCGGGTTTCTCGCGTACTGTGAAACTTACAGCGAGTGCTAACCATCTGAGCTACCACGGCTCTTGAGAAGCTGACAAGATTGGTTTCAACCAAATCAAGGTTACCAATGAGCCTTTTAGCACATCTATCCACAGAGTCCAATGCTGCCAGGTGGCATTTTGCAGCACCAGCCCATATGTGACAACAGTACTCCATGCACAACCGGACTTGGGCTTTATATAAGGTAAGAAGCTGCCCTGGTGTGAAGCACTGCTGCACCCTTATCACATGTGGACATCAAGTTTCCTTACGGCTGCTTTGGCTCTGGACACAATGAACAGCCATAATTAAAGTTCTGAGAAAATACAACGGCTTAGCTTTCCATTGACATCAGTCGAGTTGGGTGTTGATACGTATTTTTACAGAAAAGTTACACTATTATAAGCACACACACAAAGTTTCAACATGCGGAAACGCGTAATTTTTGAGAAAAAAATTATTGAAAATCAATTATTCTTGCAATGTTTATATCTAATTCTACGGTAAAACTGGCGCCATTTTGTAATGTCATTGTCGACGTCAATAGGGATGTCGATTCTTTCCGGAAAAGGTCGATTTTTAAATTGATTCAAATCGTAAGCTGATGCATTGGTTCACAAAAAATTGATTTCTAAAATATCTATATTTTTTTAATGTTTCTATTTATAATGTAAATATAAACCCATTTTATGAAAAACAAGAAAGATACCATGATAAATGATCTCTTATTGAAATTTGTTTTATTTAACAGTACCTATTAGGGCAGATAACAAATAAAATAGGTTAGGTTCAACTTATGTCAAAGAACCGAATTGATTGACCCCGACTCCACCTGTTACGAGTCTGTCCTACCCCTAGAGTGGTTTTATAGAGCCCGAGGCACGTAGGGGGAGCAGCCTCCGCCAGCTGTAACAAATCGTATCTGAAATCTGCAGAGGCGAGGAGGGATGCCTACGATTTGTTACAGCTGGCGGAAGCTGCTCTTCTCGCAGCGCCGGAGACGTAGCAGTCTCAAAATAGATACAGAGATCCTTTTGAATCAGTCCCCTTATTTTTTTATGATGAAGGGGATTTTTTTCTCATAAAATGGATTTATATTTACATTATAAATGCAAACATGAAAAAAAATATCAATATTTTAGAAATCGATTTTTTGGGAATCGATACATCAGCTTACAATTCGAATCTATTTAAAAAATCGATCTTTTTACAATAATAATAAAAATGGCGCCAGTTTCACGGTAGGAATTGACTAAATATTGCAAAATTATTTGATTTACAATATTTTTTTCTCAATAAGTATGTGTTTCCGCATATTGAAACTTTGTGTGTGTGCTTATAAAAATGTAATCTTTCTGTAAAAATACGTATCAACACCAAACTCGACTGACGTCAATGGAAAGTCATACCAATACAACCTCTAACAACTGAAGGCAGTCAGTATACTCCAAGGATGTTAGTTTACGACAGACTGTTTTCCACAACTCTACATCTAAATGTGTATTTTGCGTTAAAAACCCTCATTCAATTTATAAAAGTTCACTCCTAAACATATGCCTTCCCCATAGATTGCGTCAGATTTTACCATAGTTGCCACATTTGGCAGGCAAAAAGATGCTACTGCCCATCTGTTTCAATTTCTTTCTGTCACCTCTTATGACACCCACAGGAAAATGTGAGGTAGTGAATTTTCTAACACATTCACTGCATAGTTATATTCACATTTTATATGTATGTTTACATTTTTATATATTTTTTATTATTTCACCTGATTACAAAAATAACAAAACAGGTTTGTAATACCTTGTTAAGCTGGGGTACTAAAAATCTCTCTATAATAAACCATTCACACAGTTTTAATATTGTGATACATCTGTTGTGTTACACTTGTACCTCTAATTACTAGCAAACTTATTATGGGCTAATTTTGAGATTAAAATCAAAATATACATTGGTAACAATAATGTGGACGATAGGTACGTTATTTTCGGCAACTTCAATTGCACTCTTACATTTACAAATACTTACGCCTGGATATCATTAACACCAGATTGGATAACTCTGGAATATAGTTCTTGTGATGCCTCAAGAACCTGACCCAAAGATCGTTCAACTCTGGGTAATTCCTCATTTCCTTCGATTTCAGTAGTTAATTGTTCGGCTTGTTGTAGCAATTTACTAAAGTCGTCGTCCGCCATGGTGAAAACTGAAAAGTAGTTAAAAAGAAACAGACCTCTTACGATAAAACTGAACTTCAGTAAACTATTAATTGCAGAGCATAATATTTTTGTGTTCTGATTCTAATTCTAACCAAACAAAATTTTAACCGCTCTTTAATGACATAATAGATAATATGCTTTCTAGTATATACCATAGAGAAAAGTAATACATAAGTATATACAGTAGTCTATGACTTCAGCTTTACTCTATGATACAGAGCACAGATTATATAAGCTTCTCTGTGACAGCGTTTTTTTTTTTCTCTTTGATATTGGACACTTACTATAATATTTTTATCAGTATCTATAAAATGTTTCACATAAGCATATTATGAAAAAGTTATTTAAACAAAATAATAATAAATAATTTCTTATTACTAGAAAATGGCAAAAGAACATCCGCACGAGTACAGAACTAGAGAAAAAAACTGTCTATATTATACCACAGAAATATGAAGTGTAGAGAAAAGGAGGATCATCTCTATATATGAAAAGTGTCCCTACAAACGTGTCCAATAAGGGCCACCCTTATTGCACACGTTTTGAGGGACAGCTGCAGTAGCATAGGATGTAAATAGTTGAGATTTTGTATACTGGCATTTTACTAACTACTCTAGTCATGAATTTTTTTAAATATTTGAATTCAGCTGACTTTCACGCCGTTAATAACAGCAATCTTCATATCGTAGTTTTTCAGACGACAGCGCTATTGTGGTAGGTTTTGGAACCTCTAATTTCAGTAAATAGTAGGACACTTTTTCAACTTTGCCCCTTATAAGATGGTTCTCCTTGTACTCTACACTCCATACACAGAATAAAAAACGTAATTATACATACTAAATATCCATTATTTCAATCCCACATAATAAGTTTGGTAATTATAGTTATTCCAAGCCACCAAAGAGCTAGATAGAAAAACATATTTACAAAAAAGTAATTTTTAACAAATATTTACTCTGCTCATTTCGTACTGCTAATACGATTTGCGTTACCCGGGTTTAAGCTCGAGTTGCGTGAATTTCATCTCGAGTCGTAATTTTTCCGAGTTGGTACATATTTACTGTCGAAAGATATTTTGTAGATTTAGCGGAGTATAGTGGTTTAGAAGTTAAACCTGTGGAGAACTGGCTTAAATATTGACCGCATTAGTTCTTTTTAGCGGTTTGTTGATTTGGTCTAAAGGTCAAGATACCAGGCCATAAACTCCAAAAAAAAGCGGTTTGTTGACGTTTGACATTGACAGTTAACACAACAGTTAACACATCATGAGAGAAGAGTTTGTGAATGGGAGTTGATTTTTGATTGTAATAATTATAAATAAACCATGTTAACTATTGAAAAGAGTGATGACAAAAATGAAGAATCATCGAAAGAAATTTCAGAGAATTCTGAAGAAAATGAAAAGCTTCTTATTTCCGAATACATAAATAATTTAGAAGCTAGAATAAAAAGTAAACATGAAATGCGAAATCAAAACCTTAATTGTATACGGCCACCAGAAAATCATTTTTCAAAACTAGATTCAGGTTTAAAGAAGAATACCACTTTCGTTAAGAAATTGAAATCGTTTAGCGCAACGCAGATTGATACTCTTCTTAAAGATTTTTCTTCTTTGAATCTAACTAAATACATATCGGAAGTAGCTGCAGCTATTACAGAAGCTAAGTTAAAAATGTCTGACATTCCTTCTGCGATTAATTTATGTTCTGCATTACACCGTACTTACGCCGATTTTTCAGCAAACTTTTTTGAGAATTGGCAGAAAATTTTGTCCTTCAAAACTACTGATAAAATAACAAATTCATCTAAACTACGTGTAGATCTAAGATTTTATGCAGAACTAGTTGCAGTTGGAATCTTTACAAATAAAACAGGTTTACCACTGCTGGGAAATGTGTTAACAGTTCTTATTAATATGGATAAGGAAGAACACAATAATATCTCAATACTTCTATCCTTTTGTAAACATTGTGGTGAAGATTATGCCGGTCTCATACCCAAAAAAATAAAAGATATTGCTGAGGTGAGATGATTTTTGAGAAGTTGTTTGTTATGCAAAGGTGTTATGGTTTATTTAATCCTGCTTGTGATAAACTACAAGTTAGTTTATAATGTCAACATACAATTGAATCTCTTGTAGTAGCTAACAAATGACTGGTAGCTACAGTATCAGATATCTTGCACCTTTTTCACTGCTTCCTGTTATTTAATTATATAAAAATTATAAGCTGCTATTAAATTGTTGATATGTTTGTCATTTGTCAATATTGACATAAATATAAGAAAAATAATTAAAAATATTATATAAATATATTTGAAACAATTATTTATTTATATTTACACACAATATATTGAAAAGCATTGCATTTCATCATCAGCCAGTTACATATTTTTGACGGTGGTGTGCTTTCCTAGTGTGTTATAATTAGTGGTGACAGTGATAGTGCAGGCAGTTGAGGAAGGGCAGGAGGTGCTCTTCAAACTGGATAAGACACTGAATAGGTAGGAAACCAACTTTGACCAAGAGTTCAACCGATGAATCCAACTTGTCTGGGGTGTATTCTGGAAACAGTAACCAACATTTTGTCTAAATGTACAACCCATGTGTTGAAAGTAATGACTTACAAAACTGAAATGTGGCCCTTCAGTGTTGGTCACTCCAACATGCGGCAACTTCATGCTCAGTCACTCAGCATGTAATGGAAAGAGCTATGCTTAGAATTTCTTTGCAGGATAATGCAGGTTTTTCATCCATAATGAGGAGTCGAATTCTGTTGGTTTTTGCTATTTATTACAAATTGGTATAGTAGTTAATGAACCGAGGTTTTTAGAATCGAGTTTACACAATAATTCAAATTATTTTTACCCAACTTAAAAAAAAGGAGAAAGTTCTCAATTCGACTGTATGTTATTAATGTTATGCAATATCTTTGCTAATTATAAACCAATTTTAATTATTATTTTTTATTAAAAAGGTTATACTCATGGGTGGGGGTGGGGGGGGGGGTGCCATATAAATAAGATAAAACGGTTAAAAAAGGGGACTTAAGTTTTTAATGTGACTAGTATTTAGACAACATTGTAGCTGTTACTTTGAGTTTGTGGTAGTCTTTAGTCAACTCAAAAAGCCATTTTTGATGATGAAGAGCCTTGATGTGGGGTATAATATATATGTATATATATTTAATACTAGCTGTTCGCCGCGACTTCGCCCGCGTTTTATTTGGGGTTTTCATTGTTTTTGTGGAACCATAATTCCTTTTTCTAAAATAAAAGTAGCCTAAGTTACTTCTTATGACATCAGCTACCTACCAGTGAAAATCCCGTCAAAATCGGTCCAGCCGTTTCAGAGATTAGCCGGAAAAAACACACATACAGACAAAAACTTTAAAAATTGTAGTTTTGTTATTAGTACCTACCCTATATACTTTCATATGAATTTAGTAAAAAGTTGTAATTTTGACGTTACAAACAGACACTTGAATTTTATTTATTTGTATAGATATAGAATAGATTGTTTTATTAGCTTCTCGGCTATGGTTGTGTTAAGAATTTCATTTCAGCTTTTTATAAACATTTAGTTGTGGTATAAAATATTGTTGAGTAACAAATTATAACGTTTTCTTCAGAAATATGGTATGACCATTCCACGGAATACATTTCTCCCAGCAGAGAAACAAAGTGCTGTAAGGACCCTTTTAAAAGATTATTTTATGTCTCTTACAAAGCATCTTCTTGCCGAGAGAGCTCAGTTACAGGCCTTGCATGCAGCAAACCAAAGAACTTTACATACTAGAGGTGAATTATCACAAGAACGAAAAGATCAGTTAGAACAACACCAGGTAAGAAATGATTTTTTTTTCTCATCATACCTTGTATTCTATTTATCATTTACTAGCTGTTCCCTATGACTTCGTCTGCATGTTTTATTTTATAGGATAGAGTGACAAACGAACACACAGTCCACCTGATGGTAAGTGGTTGCTGTGGCCCATAGATATATTTATCCTCGTTTGCGAATCAAAATGCAGATGCGTTGTCTGTCGTTCTACAGTAAAATTTTTTCATCCGAAAAAAGAATTTCTCGATATTTTTTTCCCGCGTACCGCTTCAACAAAGCGCGGTATCTCTTCAGTTTCAGGTCCATTAGACGAGCATTCAAACGATGTCCTATTTTCTTCGATATGCCAGAAGCCCTAAGTCTTCATTTAACACCCTTTTGACTGTGGTTCTGCTTAACCCCATCTGAAGGGCCAACAGTTTCTGCTTACGTTTGGGATTTCTTTGAATTCGCGCCTTCACAGCTTTTATCACTGCTGGAGTCCTAACAGACCGAGGGCGACCACTTCTTGACCTGTCATCTACACTAGAGTCTTCATTGTATCGTTTGATGGTACGATAAACGAATATTTTGGTTATATTCAAATTTTTCAGTATGTGAAAAATTTGAATTGGCGCGTAACCGCAACGATGCAACGCAATAACTGCAACACGGTCTTCTTTAAGCGTCCACTCCATATTTAAAAATGAGTAAAATTCTAAAAATTATACAGTTTTATTTTCATGAACAATTCGAAATTCGAATTCAATAAACTTTTTTGTGGCCAGCATTCTAAAAGAAAAGTTTTTACTGTGTGACAATACTTATGACCTGATTAGGTATTTGTATGGCCTACAAATAATTGTTCCAAGTCTGGATCCTGGGCTTTTTTTGTAGCTATTGGTAAGGAAGTTCAATTCGTTTGTACATTTTATATTTCTATCTATTATAGTTAACGCAGTGCATGTCAATAAATGAAATTTTATTGATTATTGAGTATTATTATTGAATAATTTCGTGTAGCCAGGAGCAGTAGTAGCTCAGATGGTTAGCACTCTGTAAATTTCAGTGTTTTTTAAATTGTTGGTTGCAATTTTAAGTGCTGATTTACCACATGCTCGGCGGTGAAGGAAAACATAGTGAGGAAACCTGTATGTCTGACAAATAAAAAAAAATTCGAAGACATGAAGTTTGCCAACACGCATTGCGGCAGTGTGGCGGACATTTCCTGGTACGACTTTCCATTGACGTCCGTCGAATTGGGTGTTGATACGTATTTTTACAGAAAGGTTACATTTTTATAAGCACACACACAAGTTTCAATATGCGGAAACACGTACTTTTTGAGAATTAAATTATTGAAAATAACTTATTTTTACAATATTTTGTTGGTTTTTTAAATTGGCTTTACGGCTCTGGGTTCTAGCCCTTCTGAGCCTATTTTATTACGAATTTCCATTGAGGTTCGTCGAATTGAGGGGGAAGGAGGTGTAGGGGGACTAATTCAGAGGGATTTCTGTATCTATTTTGAGACTGCAACGTCTCCGGCGCTGCGGGAAGAGCAGCCTCTACGCCTTTGCGTAACAAATCGCAGGCATCCCTTCTTGCCTCCGCAGCTTCGGCTTGTTGGTCGCCTACGATTTGTTACGGCAGACGGAGGCTGCTTTCCCTACGCGCCTCCGGCTCTATATAACCACTCTAGGGGTAGGACAGACTCGTACCAGGTGGAGTCGGGGTCAATCAATTTGGTTCTTTGACATAAGTAGAACCTAACCTATTTTATTTATTATCTGCCCTAATAGGTACTGTTAAAATAAAAAAAGTCAAATACTACAGAAAACAGTACAGAATCGATCCAATGAATCGATATTTCACCCTTGAAAATCGCCATTAAATCTGGTTTTACTGATAAGAGATCATTTATTGTGTTATCTTTCTTTTTTTACATAAGAAATCATTTATTATGGTATCTTATAAATGCAAACAGGAAAATATATGTATATTTTAGAAATCGATTTTTTATGAATCGATACAGCTTACGATTCGAATAGATTTAAAAATCTATCTTTTTCGGAAACACGTTTTCGCATATTAAAACATTGTGTGTGTGCGCTTATAATAGTGTAATCTTTCTGTAAAAATACGTATCAACCAAAAACTCGACGGACGTCAATGGAAAGCTAAGCCCATTTCCTTGACCTAACTCTCTAAACCCCTCTCAGAAATGACGGGAGGCCTGTGCCCAGCAGTGGGACGTATATATGCTTTAACATTAACTAACTTTAATTTGGTATAGATTAAAACTTTAGGTTAGAGGCCTTAGGTGAAAGCTCTAGGGTGGCCCGCAAAATTCAAATTTTCTTACGGTTTTTTTGCAATTTGTAGGTCAGTATCAGGTTGTATATTTAATAAAATATGATTCGCGACCGTGACGAGTATGTATTTACTTAATTATAATCATTATAATCATCAATACAACCCCCTAAGTTCATATAATTCTATTGTATGTCCATTTCCAGAAAAACTAATTCAAAGGAATTATATGAACTTGGAGGGTTGTATTGGTGATTTTAATGATAATAATTCTGTAAACATATACTCGTTACGGTCGCGAATCATATTTTGTTAAACATTCAACCTGACCCTGACCTGCAAAGTCCAAAAAACGTATCAAAATTTCAATTTCGCGGGCTACCCTGGAGCTTCTACCTTAAGATAAACATGGACAAAACAAAGATCATGTGTGTAATGTCCATGTCACACCTATTCCGGTAGTTGTTGGGAGCACTAAGCTTGAAGTTGTTGACGAGTATGTTTACCTGGGATAACTAGCCCCAGGTAATTCCAACTACGACCGAGAGTTCAATCGACGAATTCAACTTGGCTGGGTTGGGTTATCCATAATATTACCAAGTTTCATCAAATCAAGCAAAACTATTCAACAGATCAATAGTTTTTGCTTGATTGAAAAAAGGGATTTTTGTAACATCCAAAACATCCATACAAATTTAAAAACATAGTATTAGTAGGATAGTAGGATAGGGTTAGTAGGGTACTTATCATACACATTGTTCATGTACCTATATTACTGAATAACTTAGTAGTAATTTTTGGCAAGAAATCAGAGAAATAAACATATATTTTACTTATGAGGTTATTACAATATCATTTAAGTTTTTTTTACATGTAGGTACATGAACATTTACATGTATAACTTTTGCAGGCAACATATGACAAATTATTAGCTGGAGCACAAAATTTTGCTGAAGTGCTTGGAGAGGAGTTGGGAGAGGCTGGAGAACCACCAACTTTATCTTTGACTGTGATTGAGACCCAAGGCACTGTTACTATAGGAGGTAATGAAGAAATTTCAATGCAAGCTGGCACGGATCCATGGCAAGATGAAGATACAAGAACATTTTACACTAGCTTACCAGATTTAAAAGTTTTTATGCCCAATTATCAGTTAAAAGAGGTATGTAGAAGTAATTTGTTATAACTTCTAATTTAGTATTATTATTACCTAATAGGGAAAATTTTGAATAAAATTATTTTATACTGGCTACCCGCCCCGGCCTCGCCGGGTTTGGATCTCTTATTATGGCGTTATTTAGATTTAAGATAATTAGGGTCCGACCAAAACTTTGACTTCGGTCACCATCGGCAAAAAAAATGGTTGAAATCGATCTTCTCGAGAAATCGACCTTCGGTCGGACACTATAGGTAAGCAAGATAATTTAATTTATTTATTTTTCGTTTCTTTTTTTCAAAACACTCAGTATGTTCTGTTATTATTCAGACTGACCAACTCTGCCTGTAACATTGAATTATCACCAAACTGAGCAAGGTTCTTATTTTTCTGATTGATATAATTATAAATGATACTACCCCAATGTCAACATTGATTTCTAATCTCTGTGTTGACTCAGGCTTGTTTCCTGATCAAATTAAACAGAGTATAGTTGTCATGTACTTTGATTGGGTAGGAGAGACAATCCTACAAATAACATAATATTTAAAATAGATATATTTTTGAAGTTATATTTCTTTTGGGACGTTTGGGAAAAATTATGAGAGTTAATTTTTTACGATGCCCGCGCCCACCGACACCTAAAAATGACACCATGAAGTTGTTACGATGCGCGCGCACACTCACAACTCAAAACGACAACTTCATTGGGTAACTGTCTCTTGAAGTTTTCGTGGAAACTGATAACTATATTTAAGGTAGTTTTTTAGTTATTTTTGTTTTGTTAAGCTAAAGAAGTATAACTTCCTACGTGCGAACATAAGTACACACACTTTTTTTTAAATAAAAATAACATTTTAAATGACAAGCAATTCAACTTTACAAAAGGAACAACCACGACTAACCCGGGTATAAAACTAGTGTCGCATATTTATCGGGCCCGCGAAGAGCACTATGATACTCTCAATTTTTTTTCCTATTATTCCGATCAAAATATATTTCAGACTAATGGGACGTATTTATAAAATATAGACTTTTAGGCACCTATAGAATAATATGATGTGATTGATTTTCTTACCCAACCCCCACACGATATTATTAAAACATGTTCTTTTTTATGTTTTTGTTACAGACTGTCAAAAGTAAAGCAGAAACCGTGACAGAAGAGATGTTGGATGAAGATATAAAAGAGGATGAATTAAGTGATAATGAGGAGCCACCTACAGTACCAGATGTCGAGCAGGAAGAAACTCAACCTGCTAATGTTTCTAACAAGTCTGTATTCGTTACTGATACAAAAAATGCACCCACATAAAATTGTTCTGTAATCGAAATCTTTTTTTCCAGATATGCTTTAGATGCTTTTCTAAATGAACTACCAAATTGTATAAATAGAGAATTAATAGATAATGCAGCTGTGGATTTCGTTTTGAATCTCAATACAAAGAACAATCGGAAAAAACTAACAAGAGTTTTATTTAGTGTTGCTAGAACACGTCTTGATTTATTGCCATTCTACTCTAGATTTGCAGCAATATTATATCCAGTCTTACCAGATGTATGTGTTGACTTATGTCAGATGCTGAAACAAGATTTTAAATATCATGTTAGGAAAAAAGATCAAATTAATATTGAATCAAAGGTTTGTAATTATTTATAATTCTTCTATAAAGATGATTTATAATTTATGTCAACCCTTAATTCTGTGGATTTTGTAGATAAAAGTGGTCAGATTTATTGGAGAATTGGTGAAATTTGGTTTATATTCAAAAATGGAGGCATTATATTGTTTAAAAGTACTTTTGCATGATTTTAAACATCATCATATTGAAATGGCGTGCAATCTTCTAGAAACTTGTGGCAGATACCTGTATTGCAATCCAGATACTCATCAAAGGACTATGATATATTTACAACAAATGATGAGAAAAAAGGTAATTAAGAAAATATTTGTATATACTTTGTACTACCAGTGCGATTACTGAATGTGATTGAAAATGGCATTGCCTCTATTCACCTCTCGCTCGCACACTGTCGTTATCTATACTCACTCTCGCTGGTAAACACTGCAAAATACGTCGCAATATGCATTTTTCGTATGTTCTATATACAGGGTATTTTTGGAACGCTCCCGAAAACTAAGACAGACGACAGTACTAAGTACACCTTTGATGATGGGTGGAATATACAATCGATCCTGATGAATGAAAAATCATCTTTTCACAACGTTTTATTAGCTTTATTCATTCTCTATCATGTTAGTACAGCTAAATGAAACGATAATTTCATAAAAAAAATCATGAAAATACTGAAACATAAAACCAGCAGTGGAAATTCATATCAGCTGATTAAAAGTCAATGTACGCGCGAACGCAAATTCGCGCGGCCCGCAACTAGCGGGCCATACCACAATGCCTAATAATTTACAACACTTGTCTAAATACCTAACTTATCTACTTAACCTACTATTTTACCACTGTACTTGTCTCCACGTAGCCACTAATCCAAATTTACAGGTTAAATAACCCAAATAACTGGTTCGATTTCCCGCTAATGAAAAAATACTTAAATGAAATGTAACCAAGGTTAGAGTCATGCGTTTTTATTCATCGTGTAGGTATGTTTATTATTCTCATGTATTCAGTTATGTACCTATTCAGATTAGTTCAGTACTAAGTTATTTAAAAAAATAGTTATGAAACAGCCTACCGCTCTAAATCCTCCGTGGTCTTATGAGATGCGGCTCCAATTGGGCTCCATTCATTTCAAGGCAGATTTGGGCTCGGTGTTGCATCTCCTCATGCAGGCGGGGCATCATCGTGTAGTCTTCGACACAGTCCGTATGTAGTTTGTCGAAAACATCCACGATCCTTTTGTAGTTTCGTCAGCACTATCACACTCACGATTAAAAACCCTTTCTTTCACATACCCCACAGAAAGAAGTCTAAGGGGGTCAGATCTGGTGAACGAGGTGGCCAAGCGTGTGGTCCTAGTCCGCCAAATCCAGCGATCATCAAATAATTCGGTGAGGCGCTCACGGACGAACCTCACGACATGTGGAGGTGCACCATCATGCTGGAACCATGTGCGGCGATATTCAGCCAACGATAGGTCGTCTAAAATGTCAACCAACTGTTCATTTATAAAGTTTAGGTATCGCTGTCCGTTCAGTCGCTGTGGCAGAAACACTAGTCCCAGTATGCGATCCTTAACTAAACCTGCCCATACGTTAACCGACCATCGGGTTTGGTGCCCGGTTTGTCGAACAGCGTGCGGGTTAACCTCTGAATACACGTGTGTATTTCTTCGGTTCCACATGCCGTTTCTGGTAAATGTCGACTCATCCGTCCAGATAATATGCTCAATGAAACCAGGTACACGTTGTTGCTGATCTAATAACCAACGGCAGAAAACTCGTCGGCAGTCGTGATCGCCGGGAACTAAAGCTTGCACTTTGTGCAATTTGTATGGGCGCATTCGGTTACGCTTCAACACTTTGTGCACTGCACAGTATGACAAACTTGTTCCATCCCGACGTCTTAACAATTTATTTAGCGATACTTCGTATACCTAGGTTCGAATACTTAACATGTTGCCGTATTCACAAGCATTATAAACGTACGCGTTAGGCATTATTAAAACAAAAAAGAATCAAAAAACGTTACAACAAGAATAATACCAACACGTAATCACAAGTAATAACAATAACAATTTAATAAACAAAACGATTGAACTGTCGTTGTCGTCGCGCACGCGTGTACAAAATCAACACGGAACTGTCTCAAAAACTAAAACGAACGAACCCCGTCAAGACTGAAACCTACTGCGTCACAGAGTGAGGCGACACCAGCCGGCCGGGTTAGGCGTTCTGCCGTCATAATAAAGAAGGACGCACCTAACAAAAACGTAAAATGGAAATAAAAAATAAATAGATGAATTTTTCTTTCAGACCCTGCTGTGTCTAAAGTATATTAAAAGGTATCAATATGAAAATTGAAATATACGTAGAGACATGAAGATTTTAAAGACGAACTTATTTTTTTGATAATTTGTTTATTTATTTAAATAAAACGAATTTTCCTTTTCATCTTATCTTAAAAGATACACCTGGCAACACAAAAACATCGAATGAAAGACGCATATAATTTGCGTTTTTCCAACCTAATAAATAAAAAAACTGCCATTCATTTAACATTTTTACATATTTTGGAAAGGTAATTTGAAGTTGAAAGGACGCTAATAGTAATTTACTACTTTTTTTATTAGTAATAATTAGAAAAGCATTGATAGTGAGACACAAAAAATAACAACCCCTCAACTCTTGAGTAATGATTTTAAAGGGGTTATCATACAAGACTTACTACGATAATAATTAAAAATTAAAATTTTTGTACAACCGACTTCAATATAAATAATTAAGGATAACTCTAAAACTATTGGTCTGACCTCATCAAATTTATATGGGACCACATGTGAAACACCAGCTCTTAATAATAAGATATAGAATAATAAGACAAGAATACGAGGGCGGCACTGAAAATTTCGGAAATCAAGGAAGTGACACAACATTACTATTTAAAAATGTATTTATTGCTTTTCGAAGTATTCTCCGCGAAATTTGACACATTTTTCCATACGATGGAACCAATCATTGAAGCAACCATTCCATTCGGAAGTTGGGGTCTCCAAAATGGCCATTTTGTAGGCGTCCACAGCTTCTTCAGGTGATGAAAATCTCTGTCCACGCAATTTATTCTTTATTTTAGGGAAAGTATAGAAATTATTACAGAACAATTTTTGTTGGCTTTAACTCATTTTCGAACACCCAAACTCGTGACTGGTTTTTTGTTTCGGGTTCGTACGCGTATATCCAGGATTCGTCACCTGATACGATGTTGTATACAGCATTTGAGGATCCTGCGTGGAATCTTTCGAGAGTTCTGACGCACCAAGTAACGCGAGCCGCTTTTTGCTCTTCACAAAGCGAATGCGGTATCCATCGGGAAAACAACTTTTTTACACCTAATTGTTCATGCAAGATTATTTGTATTTGACTCATGCCAATGTCTAAAGTTGCCTGAATTTCGCGGTATGTCACATGTCGATCTTCCTCAATCAGCTTACGCACAGCATCAACGTTTTCTTGGGTGACTGCAGTTTTTGGACGACCTTGACGGGGATCATCACTGAGCTTGACACGTCCACGTTGAAATTCAGCAAACCAGCGATAAATTGTGGTTTTGGATGGAACTTCATCACCAAATGCAGAAATCATCCGGTCAACACGCTGTTTTTGTGTTAAACCACTTCGAAAGTCATAATAAATCATCGCTCTTGAATTTTCTCGAGTCAATTCCATTTTCTCAACGACTAAACAAGTTTGACAAAACCTTGTGACAAGACCGAGAATCTTTTTTTAAATAAATAAATGGTATTCGATTTTTAAAACCAAGGACTTTACAATTAAAAATAAATTAATATGACAGGAACAGTGGAAATATTCCATTCCCAATACTTTTAGTGCAGCCCTCGTAATCGAAATTTAAGTATCGATGCAATATAATCGATGCAAATATTGTTAAAAATGACGTAGCAACTGGTTAAATAAGTATTTTCTTTTATGTTGAATTTGTATGTCTTTTCTACTAAAAAAATGTCATCTGTGATCAACAGTTACGCCTAAAATTCTTACGATATTTTCTAAAATATTGATATTATTGAATATTAAAAAAAATTAGTAGATGCGCCTTCTTATCATGAGTCGAATGGTATATTTAACTCATTTATTCAAAAATTGTTAGATGCGCCCTTTTTTCTTATGACGGCAGCATTGTTTCGCACCGTGCTAGATACAGGTCGACAGTGGAGGGAGTGTGGGTACAGCCGCGTTCTAAAGTACTACATGGTATTGGGCTTTTGTTTTATAATATTATAGTAATTAATTGTTTTATTGTAGAATCATAATAGTTGTTTTACAAGCTACTTAGAACTTTGGAAGAGGTTGGAATTAAAAATGGATAATGTTTACTTGAGCATTATTTGTTATTTCTATCGTAAAATATTAAGTAGTTTGTAACAAGAAAAGTTAAGCTAAGGGTGACACGCCGTCCATTATGTCGTCTTGGGTCACATGGAAGCCAGATGTTGATGGTGTGTTGGTGTTACTGGATGCTACTTCATCATCACTTTCATCTTCGCTTGAGCTTCCGTCATCAGGTCGATCACATGGTAATTTTTTCGGTATTCTTCCTCAACACTTTTAACTTTACTGCAAAATTTTCCCCATTCACCTTCTATCATATTTACCTTTTCGTTCACTAGTTCAGTCATAAAACAATAGATATAAATAATTTTTTTTCCTTCCTTTTTAAAACCATCGTCGCGAGTCGCAAAGTAAGCTGTGTATGCGACTGTATTTTGGGAGCAAACAAAGCGCATGAACCAATAGCGTGCGGCCACAGTAATACTGGCGGATTGTTCCCCCGTCGCGCCTCCTACTTATCACTCACTCATAAATCGCTCAGTACCCAGGTTCAAGGCCAGCGTTCTTTTTTCAGCGTTCGCGCGTACAATGACCTTTAATAAGCTGATATGAATTCAGTAATTCCACTGCTGGTTTTATGTTTCAGTATTTTCATGATTTTTTTATGAAATTATCGTTTCATTTAGCTGTACTAACATGATAGAGAATGAATAAAGCTAATAAAACGTGAAAAGAGATTTTTCATTCTTCAGGGTCGATTTTATATTCCACCCATCATCAAAGGTGTACTTAGTACTGTCGTCTGTCTTAGTTTTCGGGAGCGTTCCAAAAATACCCTGTATATATAAATAACAAAATGCCATAAACTACAAAGATAATTCAGTCCGGTTTCAATCATTTGTAAGCTGCGACGCATTTTGAGAGTTTGCTTTATAATTATTTTTGGTTTCGTTTTTTTTTAAATATTTTTGTATAAAATATGTGCATGCTATTGAAACATGAGTAACCATTTTGAAAAATTTTCGTTTGTCTGTCCTCCGAGCTAATCTTCGGAATGGCTGGACCGATTTTAATTAAACTGTATGAACAAATAGGGAGTAACACCAGGAGTGATCTAAATGTTATCCAAAAAATTTAGATATTTTATCAAAATAGAAATATTGATAAGATGAAATAAATTGTCTATAATGATTATCTTAAGTCTAAATAATGCCACATTAATAGATCCCAACCAGGCGAAGCCAGAGCAGGTCGCTTGTTATAAGTGTTATTTTAAAATTAATGTACCTACTTGCGTATATAATTCTTTTCAAATATTTTCTCATTAATAGAAAATTTCCCAATAGCCGAATAATATAACGATATACCGTTATTAGCAGGTTTTCGATATTGGTTCTGTGCATGTTGACAGTACATACTCGATGAGCCGCCATTACTAATCCCATTCTTTATCCGTACGCACTGTATATAATTTATATTTGTGTATAAATTTATATTATATTTTACTAACTGTATGTATTTTTAATATAGATTGTTTCAGCATTAGATTCTCGTTATGTAACACAAATCGAAAATGCTTTCTACTATGTTTGTCCTCCCGAGACTCCAGCACAGCCGAAAGAAGAAGAACCTCCAATGCATCAGTTCATAAGGAAAATATTACATGAAGACTTACAAAAGAGTAACGAGGAAAAAATCTTAAGATTAATGAGAAAACTTAATTGGGATGACCCAGAGATATCATTTGTTGCTATTCAGCATTTGGCTGGTGGATGGAGAGTGAGAGCTAGTGCAAGACGAGCCTTAGCTCGATTGACTGCAGAATTAGCAACTTGGCAAGAAGCCGTAGCCCCAGCAGTTGTTGACACTATTCTTGAGGAAATTCGCCTTACGATGGAAGATCCACATCCCCGATATAATCAAAGACGAATAGCTACTGTAAGATATCTTGGAGAGTTATATAACTATAAATTACTTGACTCCCGAGATGTTTTTACCGTTTTATACTCTTTAATTACTTTTGGCGTGACTAATGATCATAGTAATATTTCCCCAATTGACCCTCCAGACAACGTCTTTAGGATACGTCTCGTTTGCGCTTTACTCGAAACATGTGGCGCGTATTTTAACAGTGGATCTAGCAAAAAGAGATTAGATTATTTCTTGGTGTTTTTCCAAAATTACTATTGGTTCAAATATACTGACCCGTACTGGAGTGAAAGTAATAAATTTCCTATTTATGTTAAATACATATATCAAGAATGTTTGACAAGTTTAAGACCAAAGTTGGATTTATTCACGAGTTGGCAACAATGTAAGGATGCTATTGAAGACCTGAGGCAAACCCTGTATCCAGAATTGGGTGAAGACGAACAATTTGATAATGAAGATCAAGGAGAAGACAATGTGAATGACGGTTTGGATACTATAATGGAGACTGATGATGAAACGGATAATCCACAATTACCGGATGAGAGTTCAGATGAAGATCCAGTAACTGATAATGCGACAAATGATCTGAATGAAGTACAAAATGATGAAATGGTTATAGAGCACAGGCGGCCAGCGGTGAAGCCGGTAATAATTCGATTTTAAGTTTGTCTAAAATTATTACATCTGCCGTTGTCTAAAATGTTGTAATTGCATAATTTAAGGTTGAAGATACTGAATTTGAAAGTGCTTTTGAAAAAATGGTCATGGAAAACATTGCTGAAAGACAACGCGAAAATAGGCCTCAACAAAGAGATATTGCAGTACCAATGACGTGTCGGCAAACTACAAAAAAAACTTACGAACAGCTTTTGGTATGTATTTTTTCATGGAGATTGTTAATAATTCTCAGTGTATAAAGTGTAATAAGAAAATAGGATGTTGTACCTTAGACTATATACTTCGTCTTGCGTATGTGGACTTTGACACTTCCTACAGCGGTGCCAAGTTCACTGTTGGTATATCGAAGTGCTAAAGTGTTTTTACAGTAGGTCTATAATAGCTATCCGAGTACAGAATCAGAGTAAAAAACAACTCTTCGTCGCTGCATTGGAAGATGTTTTTTTTTTACATTATCGGACTGGAAAGGATACGGAATTAAAATCAATGGCGAGTACTTCACTCACCTTCGATTTGCCAACGATTTTTATACGATTCATTATGGCGCTGGCCAATCTCTGGAGGACCTCAGCACTAATGGTCAATGACCTCAATGGTGTCTTTTAACAGTATGGTCTTAAGGTGAACTTAGACAAGACAAATTTTAATGTTTATCGTCCATGTCACATCTGTGCCGGTAGTTGTTGGGAGCACAACGCTCGTAGTTGTCGACTAGTATGTTTACCGAAGACAAACTTTTCGACTGGGTAAGTCCAACGTCCAACGAGATTAATCGACGGATCCAACTCGGCTGGGCAGCACTCGAGAGATAACGATACATGTTATTTAATGTCGACAGAACAAGAGTGTAGAAGACAGAATATGGATCTGAGACGTGGTCCTTTACTGCAGATTGTATTAGAAATCTGAAGGTCACTCGGCGAACTATGAAGTGATAGACTTCGTAATGAGAATATCCGCAGTAAAATCAGAGTAACCGACATAGCTCAACCAATCAGTAAACTGAAGTGGCAACAGGTCGATCATTTTAGAGCCACGCGGCAGCTTTTGCTGTCGCACGAATGGGCCGGCTCGAACCGGGGTAGTACCACGACCTCACAGAAAACCAGCGTGAAGTAGAGGTTTACCTCTGCGTTTCGCTTGGTGAGTGCAGGTGGCCGAAGGCCCTTTTTACTGGAAATGAGGCATTCCATCTTAGTCCTCACGGGTGACAACGCATCTACATTTTGATTTGTAACAGAGGATAGATATAGATGTCTATGGGCCGCAGCAACCACTTACCATCAGTTGCACTGTGTGCTCGTTTGTCACCCTTATCCTATAAAAAAAATATATAAACTGGTTAGGAATGCAGGAAGTTGATAGATGCAGATGGTTCAGGACCGTGCTTTATGACATTCCTTCAGGGTGTCCTATGTCCAGCTGTAGACTAATGATGAACTGTGATGATGACGATGCTGATGATGATGACGATACTGATAAAGCTATCCTTTCGTCAATAAACTAAATTTTTTTATAGGTGTGATCACATTTTTTACATCTGTCATTACCTTATATCTACAATTGCCTTACACCTGTACTCCCACACATTAAAATATAGGGTTTCTAAAAATAAATGTCATTTATATACCTTTTTTGAATTGGCATTGCTTTTATTATTTTAAAGCAAGGGAAGGAAGGCGTAGAGTTCGTTTTGATGGTCAGGAAAGGTACCAAACCGCAATATAAGTCATTTAACGCACCACCGGAACTGGCTAGCAATTTACAGCAGCAAGCACTTGCTGACAAACAAGAAATGGAAAGAATGAAACGGTAAGCATATTCTTTTTATTTTCTATGAGTCCTTAAGCAAAACACAGTTGAATATTATTCTCCCATATTCTCTATAAGGCGGCTCTTCACGTTGGCCAACATAGTGGCAAATGTGTTCGTAAAGATATTAGGCAAGAGTTTGTGTTGGTGTCCACACGTTGGAAGGTCGTTCAGTTTGCTTCGGTTCAGGCCAATGTGCGGACGAATCTAATATAATATAAAATAGATATTGAGGTGCTAACAGCAGCTGCGGTTTATTTATTCACAGCTTTGTTCAGCAAAGACTCGTCTAAGACACAAGTTTTGTCCTGGTACTTGGCGACGTTTTCCCGAGAAATATTGGTACGGTCGGTGTATAAGGCATGCATATGTCTGTATAGCAATGAATGTTTGCAACATATCATTGATATGCAAAAGAAACAGCGTTGGGGATAGCACGCAGTCTTGTGGAACACCAGCGTTAGTAGATGCTCCGATCTGCAAGAAAATTGGTCATCAATTGGTTTTACGTGGTAGAGCCACGCGGCAGCTTTTGCTGTCGCACGGATGGGCCGGCTCGAACCGGGGTGGTACCACGACCTCACAGAATACCAGCGTGAAGTAGAGGTTTACCTCTGCGTTTCGCTTGGTGAGTGCAGGTGGCCGGAGGCCCTTTTTACTGGAAATGAGGCATTCCATCTTAGTCCTCACGGGTGACAACGCATCTGCATTTTGATTCGCAAACGAGGATAGATGTAGATGTCTATGGGCCGCAGCAAACACATCAGGTGGACTGCGTGCTTGTTTGTCATCCTTAAACTATAAAAAAAAAAACGTGCCCGTTTGCCGACTGAGAGCAAGAGCTATTTAGACTGTGCTAGTCGCAGCCGAAAGATTTTCCATGTTTCCAACGCTAGTTGTTTTTGCTATAGTAGTGTCAAACGACTTACCTTGCACCCTGACTTGAAAAAGTAATTTACACTGAACTTGGCACATTCAAGATGGTTAAACCGTAGTCTATCAGAGGCTATGATATTTTGCTGACATATCCCATAGTTGACATATGATATACGTAGGTTTATGTGGGGAATAAATTCTCTTATTTCAACAAATGTAACCTAAAATTACATCAAATTACCTTCATAAATAGCTTATAAGTATTTTTAACCAATTATAACATAATCTTGTATGTAACATTTTTCAGTTTGACATTGAATATTTCTGAAAGACAAGAAGAAGAAGAATATAGTGCTGAGAGTGGGGGAGGATCCGGTGGAATTGGAAATCCGAACAGAGGGCAGCATGTTCGACAAAAATATCAACATCCAAAAGGCGCCCCCGATGCTGATTTAATTTTTGGACCAAAAAAATTTAAATAATTTATTTAAATCACCCCTCAGAATCAGAACCACAGGCCGATATTGATAGACAATTTCGAGCTTAAACTCAAACTTAACAATGTCGAAATTTGTGTAACATTATATTATTATGGTCTAGACTCAAATTTTGACATTATTTTGAATCTTAAGTTTAAACTATGGATTGTTTTTGAATACCGGCCGTCAGCTTTAATATTTACCCTCAATTCAGTGTTCATATTAAAGTACAAGGTTTTACAGTTTTAGAGAATAAACATTTAAACATTTGGAAACTCTCATTGCACGTACTGCTTTTACCGTAAAGTGGGGCTACTTGGACATATTTTAGCGTATATCAAAATGATTCACAGATTAAAATAAGTAAAACTTATTATGGGGTTGGGTTTGGTATAAAAAAACATTGCTTGGAAAATTTAGAACTTTTTATTTGGAGTTCCATACATTAAATTATATAGACTTTTTCTTTAATAACATAAATACTTATTTCAATTTTAAAACTTTATTCGTATATTATTAAGTGGCGAAGCTTGCGAAGTCACTTATTGATTTCACGATATCTGTCCGTCTGTCCCACGATTATCTCGAGAACGGTTTCGAATTTTCAAATTCTGTTTTCAGCAATCGATTACTGATCACCCAGGCATCTGAACCTCCTATTTTGAAACTGATTGCTCAACGGCAACCGTTAGAAACCGCTACAAAGCTGATTGCTTCGCCACTTTGCTATGCTGTTAGCTTGCTAGGTTTATTTAATAAGCAACAACACAAAATCTTTAAAATTACTGAATACAAACCTCTAACTACTAAGATAAATTTTATAGATTTTTTAGTTTTAATCGAAATATCTTCCTGGTACTGTATCAGAAAACATGGTAATTACAGCAGATTCCGAATTATTAAGTATCCTTTCAAGGTATTTGCAACCTCGTTTACAAACATACTTCTTATTCTCTCTCAGGGTTTAATTAGTTTTATCCTAATTTATTAAACAATCAGGTGCAACAGTCTTAATAATTTTCAAAGAATTTGTCAAGCATATTATAGCATAATAAATTAAAGCTATTCTGCCAGATTATATATTAGCTGCAAATCTATTTGAAATTTTGTAAAAAGCAAACTACCTAGTCTTAACCTAGTCAATTATTTTTTAAAGTGTGGACTGCGTTTTTTATCTAATTTTTGAGCAAAGAATTTTAAATCTATTAAATCCAAAGGATAACCCTAATATTCCATATATTTTATATACCGGATGACATTTTTACGGAAAGAAAAAAAAATACATACACTCACGCCTATCACCCAGAGGGGTAGGCAGAGACTACGGGCTTCCCTTTGGCGCGATCCTGACACACCTCTCTCGCCTCCTTTACATCCATATATTTACGCATACACGCTCGTCGGTTAAGGGTACTCCTATTCTGGCCCATTATGGCCCAATGAAAAAAAATAGGCGTAAAAAGTGGTAAAAAGGCAGATGGAGCGCGCAAAACACTGTGAGGCCGACATTTTGTTATGAGTGTTAGTTATGAATCTATATATTACATTCCCGTAAAATTCCGGCAAAGCGATCGGGTTCTAAATAAATTTATCTTCTATCGCTGAATACCATTATTTCAGGTAAAATATTTTAATGTAAACTGGCCACACTAACTTATTATCGTTAAGGTTTTGTGTTCCTTCGGTGTCGTCAGTATTAAATACCATGGGAAAAAAATATCAAAATCGCCAAAATATCGTTTTACTTACTCATTAAATTAAATCATATTCTTTTCTTTTTTTTTATTTAAATACCCAAGACGGCATAATTAAATCAGATTTGTGACTGTGTCAGATCTACATCTGCTTTGCTGGCCGCACACGCGTTTTCCGCCGCTCTTCATCTGCCTTTGTTCTTATAATTAGAGAGCCTCTGAAAATAGGAAGTATTTCAAATTAGTATCTTTGATATGCCGCATACGTACTTCATATGTACTTAAATTCCGCTTTCTCAATTGATAACTTTTAGCTTTGACGTCCGAAGTGAAAGTTTTTTTTTATAAGATAGGGTGACAAACGAACACATAGTCCACCTGATGGTAAGTGGTTACTGTGACCCATAGACATCTACATCTATCCTCAATAAAGACTCAAGATGTAGATGCGTTGTCACCCGTGAGGACTAAGATGGAATGCCTCTTTGCCAGTAAAAAGGGTCTCCGGTTCTCTACACTCACCATACGAAACACAGCAGCGTTACGCTGCTATTTTACGCTGGTTGTCTGTGAGAGCGGGGTCCTTCCCCGGTCGAGCCGACCGAAAGTTAAAACTGTTACTCTTCCTTATGTTCTAGTAGGTTCTACCGTTCTCCCAAACCTTTTTGTATACTGCAAATAAAGGTATTTTATCTGAAAAGCAACAACCACAATTGTAATATTGACTTAACATGGTCAGAATTCTATTAAAAGAAGTCATAAAGGTAAAGACGAAAAAGAAGACTTGTAATGGGCTCGGAAACCATGTTCTTCATTTTTTATAGGATCAGGGTGACAAACGAGCACACAGCCCACCTGATGGTAAGTGGCTGCTGTGGCCCATGGACATCTACATCTATCTTCGATTACGAATCAAAATGCAGATGCGTTGTCACCCGTGAGGACTAAGATGGAATGCCTCGTTTCCAGTAAAAAGGGTTTCCGGTTCTCTACACTCTCCATACGAAATACAGCAGCAATAAACTGCTATTTTACGCTGGTATTCTGTGAGAGCGTGGTCCTTCCCCGGCCGAGCCGACCCATTCGTGCTACAACCATAACATAGCTGCAGCATGGCTCTACCACGTATAAAAGTTATCGTCAGTCACGTACATAGAGTTATCATGGCAATTATCTTTTGATAAAGCGTTGTGTTATATGTCAACAAACTATTTTGTTTATCAAACCAATGGCACGCCTTTTCTAATTTCGATGAATATCTGATGTTTTAACACGAAAATTACGACTACAAAAATTCTTTAAATGTCAATGTTTTCCTAGGTCTTAAATTTACAGGACGCAGGCGGTAGATAAAAGTGTTGCCATAATAAAAAATGTGTTTAGCTGTGAGTGAAAAGGATCAGTCATCAATATTTATATTTTAACCCTCGATTGCCTTAAATATCACTAAAGATCCCAAAAAGCCCCACTTTACGCTGTGTATAATAAATCCTTTTTTATTATAATTCTTAATTGATAAATTTTGTATATTTAGAGTATGCAGTTATGACTGTTTTGCAACAAAAGCATAGTGTTCTACTATCATAAATATGTAATTTTTAATTTTTGATATTAAAGACTTAATAAGAACATAGTATAGTTTTAAATTGTTGTAAACCAGTCAGTTCCATGTTGCTTCACATATAGGCAACATTTTTAGAAAATAGGTTTTACCATATTATTAGGGTAAATGATTTCCACCAGATCCACTACAGTAACAATTGCACACTTCAAAAATACGATAAAAGAGGAAGTAAAAAATTCTGACATATCATGGGACAAAAGAAAACCGCGTTATTATAATGGTCGTCCAGAAAAACGTTTGCAAACGAACCGAAGTTATTCCGTCTAAGAATTAAAAACGTTTGATTACTCTTTGAAGGCTGATGATGAAATTAATAACATTAGATTTAGACGTATGGACAGTTTCAAACTTGATTATAAATGGGAATAATTCAAATGGCATGACAAAATATCCCTTGATCTGCAGAGGTCCTTTAAAATTAATCACAAATAGTATAAGTACTAGCAAAATCTATGTAGAAGTTAATTCTTAAACGATGGAACAAGTGCTTCGATAATGATAAAATATAGTCTATTTTGATTTGAACAAATATGTTCTTGTACTACGTTCGGAATCCTAAACGGAAACAAGCCGCTGCGAACTCAAGTCTTCCATAGATTTTGTATTAGTCGCAACATTCGTAAATTCCGTACGGAACGCGCTCAGTGTTCGTAGCACGACCGAAGCGATTAGGTGTATTTATGTATGTTTTTACTTTTAATCTTATACGTGTATAGTTTTTCGTTACCTTTCATCTTATTTTATTTAATTTCATCAAAAAAGTTTACAGACATACATATTTAAAAAAATATCTCCAAATAGATCTTTTTTCATAATATTGGTTATATTGTAAGCTTAGGGTGATAAGGGGATGTACCCAGTAACAATGATACAGCAACAATGGAATCGCAATCAGAAAATCGTCATCATTATTCGCGACGGATTCAAGGACGATGTCGATATCCCAATATCACACGAAAGTGAACAGACGCACAACATTGAGCAGCAAACATCCAATGTCATCAAATACTACTACATCATGGATTCAAGTGTCATGGACTGAGGACGGTTAATTTGACGTTATTATTAAAATTATAATTCAATAAAACAGAATAAATGAACTTGTTACTCGTTAATATATTTTGGTCTATTATTAGTTAAATGTCAATAACTTACTTGAATAAATAGTAAAATAAAGTGCATAAAATTCTATAAGGAATGATAAATGTTTCCGTCGTCTGGTCGACCACATGGTAATTTTTTTAGTATTCTTCCTCAATACTTTTAACTTTACTGCACAATTTTCCCCATTCCCTTCTATTTACCTTTTTGTTCACTAGTTTAGTCATAAAACAATAAATATAAATAATTTTTATTTCATTCCTTTTTAAAACCATCGTCGCAAGTCGTGCAAAGTAAGCTGTGCGACTGTATTTTGGAAGCCAACAAAGCGCGGGAAGCATGATCCACATGCGCGCACAGTAAAGGCTGATTCACGCTACAACGTGGCGCGGCCGGGCCGTGCCCCGGCCGGGGCACGGTCAAACATTATTGTGTACTTTTTGTATGAAGCGATTCATGCCTGACCGTGGCTCGGCCGTGCCCCGGCCGTACGCCGCCGGGACTCGGCCGGGGCACGGCGTTGAAATGTCGGTGGGTATTGTTTCCCGGCTCCGGCACGGTCCGGCCCCGACACGTTGTAACAT